AGCAAGGAATACAATAAATTATTATGGAGTGACAGAGTGCATAATACACGTTACGGATAACCGCTTGATTGGCTACGTGTCGTAAGTTTTTGAAGACATATATTAGTTTACGAACGCGTCCCGAGAGAGTGTCAATATGTTGTCCAAATTTAAGGTGTTTATCCAAGATAATGCCTCAATTATAATGCCTAAATAATTTGGTTAACTGGAGTTATTGCTAGGCATTTGCAATTCAGTTGAAGTTGAGACTGACAATAGTGAGCTATTAGATTTATAGGGTTTTTAGGTTGAGATAGTGGGGTAAGCGAGAAAGTCATAAAATTTGTTTTGGTAGTGTTAAGAGTTAGAGTGTGTGAGGCAAGCCAGGTTAAAACAGTACAGAAACCTCCTTGAGCCGCAATTTCAAGTTCAGACCATGTGTTTGCGTGAAAAGTTATGGCCGTGTCGTCTGCAAACGATACAATGTTTGCGTGTGGAATGATTAAGTTACAAAGGTCGTTAATAAAGACAAGGAATAAAGTAGGGCCTAAGATACTTCCTTGAGGCACACCGTAATGGATGGAAAGTTCATCGCCAATGTAGTTGTTGATATTAACAAGTTGTGTCCGATTCGTTAGGTAGCTTTTTAGTAGTTCTAGTGGTGGGCCCCTGATTCCTGCATTTTCAAGTTTGATTATGAGGGTAGAAATTGGCACAGTATCGAAGGCCATGGCTAGGTCCAAGAAAATAGTCAGAACTTTTTTTTTCTTGTTAAGTTTTTCCACAATGTTATTAACTAAATTTTGGACTGCATCACACGTAGATTTGTTTCTACGGAAGCCAAATTGTTGGGTTGAAAGCAACTTAAAGTTCTCCAGGTAGCTGATCAGTCTCTTATTTATAAGTCGTTCAAGTATCTTGGATAAAGCACTAAGTACAGATATGGGTTGATAGTTGTTTGGCGACTGTCCGTCTCCACCCTTAAAAATCGGATGAATGATGGCTATTTTGAAAGAGGTAGGAAAAATAGCTGTTTCAAAACAGAGGATGAAAATATAGCTTAATGAGGACACTATAAATACATTATATCGTCTAAGGAATGACAGGGGAATACCATCCCAACCCACAGCAGCAGTCACCCTTAGTGTGTTTATCACAGACGAAATTTCAACGGGGTCTGTTGGCTCTAAGACGAAGGAATTATTATGCTTTGAAGTGCAATTAGGTGGTGTACTTGATGAAGTGTAGGTGTTTTGTATTTTTTCGGCGAGATTTTTTCCAATGTTTATGAAAAATTGGTTAACACTATTACAAGACTGTTGAGGTGACGTCGAGAGTGATAACAGTTTGTTTGAAATATTAGTAGGTTTGCTTGTGTTTGTTATAAGTTTAATAGAATCCCAGAGCTTTTTGGGGCTGTGACTTGCCTTAATTAGCTTGTGTGTGCCTTTTTACTTTTTTTAGAATAGTTGAGCAAAACTTTCTGTACCGTTTATAGGTGGTGAGAATGGTAATATCATCTGGGGCTTGTTTAACTTTTTTGTGAAGTAAATCTCTATGTCGTATACACCGTAAGAGGCCTGGTGTTATCCATGGTTTAATCACTCTTTTCCTAGCAGAGAGTTTAACAGTAGATGTACATTTGGCTATAGCATTTTTAACTATTTTTATAAAGTTGTCAGTTGCATCATTTGGGTCTGACATGGAGAAAATTGGTGAAAAATCTGTATTTTCCATAAGTTGGTCAAGCGCAACATAATCGACCCTGCTAACCTCCCTTGGACTAGCTTCTTTAATTATGTTTTTGGCTATACAGAGCAAGGTCGGGTAGTGATCGGTTACCGCCGTTTCGAAGAGGAATGTAATAGTTTGAAAAGTTGTTCTCAACATTAAGTGGTCAATGCAGTTCTTGTCTCGCGTGGGTTGAGCATGTGCTGGGAGAAAACCGTGATAGGCCAAAAATGTAAGGTAAGATTGACTGCGTGTGTCGTTAGTCATAGGTTTAATGTCGATATTGATATCGCCTGTTAGAGCTACATACTTATGGCTGTTGAGGGTTTATAGGATATTGTTAAGGGCAGATAAGAAAGGGTCAATTAGGTGATTAGAAGGGGAGCGATATACACAGATTATTGACATGGAGTCTAACGTAATTAACAGACCAGAGGCCGTTTCACAAAAGTTGGGCTCTTCACATGTGGCCGTTATTGTAGATCTGAGATAGACCACAACACCATCGTTTTGGTTTTGATGTTTGTTTGTTTTAAACGAGGCAAAGCCCTGTAATATTGGGATGTTAGTATTGCTGTCACATTTAAGCAAACACTCCGTCAGCACCAGAATGTCACAGTCGATATCGAGGCGCTTCAGTAGTGTTTGTAGTTCTAGGTTATTGCGATTAATAGATCGTATGTTGAGAGTGAAGATTTTAAGATAGTTATTTGGGTGTTTTATAAAAGTTTTTGTGTGTTCAGGAATGCAAGTAATGACTTGAGATACAGAAAGGCAGTCAACTTTATCCATGAAATCCGTAATGTTAATCATTTTAAATCAATAATAAAGTTGATAAATTTATGACCAATTAAGGCTTTAATTTTTAGATACTGATGATTTACTGTTATAATAGCTACAACAGACAGCGTGCAGTGAAAGGGATAAGTGTGAGTGTGTTGAAGTATGGTATTATTGCGTGCATCATAGAAGGTTGTGTAAAAATTTGTGTGTATATGTGTTGTAAGTAAAATAGAAAATTAACTTAATCGTAAGGTTAACTATGAATGAAATTAAAAAACATGCATAATACAGTTTATAGTTAGAAAAAAATTAGAAACAAGTTGTGGTATCAGTCAAGCTTTGTTTACTTATGCCAGGCCCTTCATTTGAGATTCGGATTTTATAATAATAGTAGTGCTGTCCGGGTTTTTTTTCAACATTACGCGACCATTGTTCGTCCAACAGAAATTGTATTGGTTTGCCTTGGCCCAAATCCTAGCCAGATAGAAAAGTCGTTTTGAGTATGTTGTAAGCTGTTCTGCAATATAAATCGGTGCTGTTGGAGCACCTATACCCATGAGAGATGAGTTCACCTTTTGACTAGGGTTACGTTTGTTATATTCCTTGATGGTCGTGAGAAATCTGCTTTTGATTAGACTATTTGTAAACTCAACAGTCAGTGATGAACGGGGAGTTTCTTTTTTGGACGGCTGGCGAGTGACGTCACGTATGTCTGATAATGTAATATTAGCTTCTACGTGCTTAGATAACTGCAATAGAGCATCATATAACATTTTACTGGTTTCGTTTTGAGATTTTGGTACATTTCGTATTTCAACACTCGTCTTAAGAAATGACTTATTGAAGGACTCAAGCTTCTCTTCTAGAATAACAATTCTATTGTTCGTAAAATGACGCTCTGCTTCCAATTTTGTTATTTTTGTGTCCAGGCAAGTAAGTTGATCCGTGACATAAGACATACTTCTTTCAATTTCTTTGTTTGTTTCATCCATTTTTGTATTTATGGTTTTTATTTCCAATATGTGAGTCTCCAATTGATCTAATCGAGCATTTTGTTGGCATATCATTCCGTGAATCATATCTTTAACTAGCTGACCCGCGCAACTTCGTCTGCGTCTCTCAATAGTAATAAATTTTCTCCGTTTTTTAAACATTCTTCATTGGTGTTCCGCTCCTTTTGGTCTTAGCGTGATGATATATAGCCTATAGCCTTCCTCGATAAATGGGCTATCTAACACTGAAAGAATTTTTCAAATCGGACCAGTAGTTCCTGAGATTAGCGCGTTCAAACAAACAAACAAACAAACAAACTCTTCAGCTTTATAATATTAGTATAGATTTCCTGTTTGAAGTCCGCCAAATCGTCACTTTCTTTTTCATATTTACTCGATGGACAGCGCCGCTTAGATCTTTGCGTTAAGCCAATGTTAGCCGTACTTGGATCTTCAGAGTAAAGTTTATGTATATCGGTTTCGGATCGAGATGGCGTTTGTTGTTTTGGAGGTGTACGGGACAGTTTAGACATAGTAAATTGTCGTGTGTTACGAAGAATAAACTGACAACAGTCACAAAAAACGATATATCGCAACCTAAGTTTTGAAACCTCGACCACAAGCATCGATGCGCTCAGACCGACACTTTTAACCACTACGCTATGTTGGCAGATGACAAATGGTGTAAAATTGTTGTTCTCTTGCTACGTCTCACTTGATAATGAGCAATAACAAGTTTTTGTCGGTATTGTAGGTATATCAACAACATAAACACCGTGCAGTAATCACAAATCACTTCACTTCTTAAGTTATTTCTTTTTTCTTTATCCTTATATTCTATTCACTTTGTTGTTATTTAGTGTATTTGTTTTTCTTCTTGTGCTATTCTTGTGTTATAAGGGGGTTAAGTAGTAATATTCACAGTAAAATCAGTATTAAACAGTTTAGTGAATTTTTAAACACAGAGAGCACACAAACACGACCTTTCGGTTACGCGATCCGAACGAGAGGCATTTGTTTCTGACAATACTGGATAAAGCTGACTTTGATTCTAACGAGTGAGTTTGAAGTGGTTTTTCTTTAAAAAATAGCTGCGTTTGATACCAAACGGCTTACCTAACATGTACAAATTTGGATAAGGAATAAAATAGCGTTCATAGTTCTATACCTACCAGGCTATGGATTTAGCTGGCTTTGATTCTATACCCCCTCTACAAATTGAGGTTATTTCACGAACTGTACGTTCACGTATCATCGTGACTCGTGACGATGTTTTAAAGCTCGATGTATGCAACATCAAGAACGTAATATCAGTTATGTATTCTGTTAATTCAGTATTTTAGCTCCAGATAAAAATAAAGTTAGAATTTGAATCTCACGATAACACAACATAATATAATATACCCTATCAGGATAAATATACATAGGAAGGGATAAAACTGGTATTTTGAATACTGGTCTTTTGCGTAGATCTGTAATGAAAAAACATGCTTATGAAAACAAATGAAAACTCACCCATGAAAACTGAGGTAGAGCTTGTGAAGCATGTCTGATTTGTACCAAAACATTGCTTTTACAATGTAGTTGCAGAAGAGACGTTAAAGGTTTTCTTATGCTTAACATTATAAAAAACTTTATTACGCATAACTTTACAGAAAAAAGGTAGAGGTATGCAGTGTCGTCTAAACAAAGTAAATACTGATATCATTGTCTGTCAAGTTCGACCTTACTATCGTTTTCGTTAGTTGTTACGTCAGTTATGTCAACAAGATAACGGTTATCCGCTAGGAGTATTATGTGTTCTGTGACGGTTATTTATAGACGCTATATTATTAACATTATATATAGGTATAGTATATTAATGTTATAGTATCTACTATTTTGTAACCTGACTTATGAGGCAAATTTAAGGCAAGGATAATAGATTGTAATATTCAATTTACCGAAAAAATCTACTATGCATTATTTACTACTACGATTTCCAAGTATTAAAATCTTAATCATTTATTAAAGTTATTTAGTTTTGATAGATTTATTGAATAATGTGCGTTAATAAGTATGTAATCTAGAGTATTATTAAGTATATACTGTAGTTCATTTATCCCAAACTAGACAGAACCTGTACTATGGTAAAGTCTGTTTACCATAGTAAAGGTTCTGGTTACTGGTTCTGATAAACATACTTATATATTTCTAAATAATTTGAATTTTTAAAATAAGACATCTGGTTAGAAATAAGAAGATTTTCTTAGGCCATAAAACAAATACATAATAACAACCCAGTCAACAGATGACCTGCATATGACGTCATAAATAGGTCACAGAAATGTCATGGATTTTTTACTTAGATATGACATGAGAAGACCTTATGACTGATGACTTTGATATGATATGACATCATTATGACATAGACCTAAAATTAGACTTTTATGCGACGTCATAATGTATTTATTTATTATATTTAAAAATATATTATGTCCTATCCCTATCATATGTGTAATGTTAGTTAGTTACTTTTTCATCCCTATTTATTTCAGAATCGTAACAAACTTTTTGATTTATTATCTTTCTTAGAATGGAATGGAGATTTTTTACAGCCTAAGCCTAAAAGTCAAATCCAAAAAAATACCCTTAATAACAAGTGAAACATTCTATTTCATAAAATAATATAATAAATTTATATTCTTATTCAAATATTATCAAAAAAGAAGAACATATTGTAGTCCCGTGATAATTAAATGAAAATATGGTTTCGTTACTCATGTAGGGTTATTACGGCGCTCTGATAACTTCATGTAAACTCTGGTTTCCCTTCAGCTAAAGCTACGTCAAGTACGTCAACTGAACATCAGAGTTATATCATTCTAACGTCAGGAAAGTAATAATGAGCTGATATTTACGTCATTTACCTTTAGCAAGAATCTTAAGTCAGGAAGTGGGCAATTATGAGTCATATATGACACATACAAGAATTATATCTTACGTAAATCATGGTGTGGATGACGTCATTCTAACATCAGTTGGACATAATTGTGTTCACTGGAAACGATCTAAACTAAACCGTAGCATTAAGATTTTAGTATTCTTTATAAATCGGGTAAAACTTTGTATGGATTCAATATTCCATTCGGATCCATTAATTTCTTGAGGTCCCTCATTAGTTGAAGCGCCGACTGATCCTTGCTGTAGTGGATGTACTGAGGTTTCCGAATCCCTATACCATGTTCAGCGCTAATAGAACCATTCACTTTGCTCACTTCTTCAAAGACATATGGCTCTATAAGGGATATTACTTCCTTGTTATATTCTGGTACGACAATAGTGATATGTAGGTTTCCATCTCCTGAAACAGTAATCGATAAGTTTTAAGAACGTCTTCTGCTACTAGTTTTGTTCAATAATGAAGGCATTATTTTAATTACTTAGAGTTCCAAAGAACTTCTAGGTACGCAAGGTTTAATAATAATAAAGAGAGCTCGTGTATTGTTACGAAATAGGACAAAGAAACATTGTTACAATATGCACTTTTTAACCTGTTCTGTATCCTACCAAACAATTGTACTAATGCTCCAAGATCCTTTCTTTTCAACAATTATCCTAAGATAACACCCAAAAACTGTTTATTAACACGCCATATAATTAACTGATGAAAATTCTAATTACAAAACTTCCTAACCTCAGTCTCTTGACATGATCACGTAAATGATGAATCTTAAGGTGGTTTTCTATATTCTAAGTTTCTAAGGATTAAGTGACAATTGTTTTGTTCGTTTTAGGTAAGGGCAATATTTTAACCAAGCTATTGTCACCGTGGTAAGCGATGAGATTGACGGATGAGTGATTTGTTTCTTTTCTTAGTTATACCTATAAATTTGGTTCAATTTATTATTACTAACCAATATGTCCAAAACCATAAACCTGAAGCGCTTTATCACCAATCCTTTTCTTCAACATCGGTACAAGATCGTAATAGTTTTTTAGTGGCATAGTCACATCGTATATCAACACGTAACCTTCTTGAAAGCCAGCAGACGCTATTCCTTCCCGAATTTTAAAAATTGACTGCAATCATAAACAATTGTGTTTATTACCTTAAAATTTATTCTTAATTCTTAAGGGAATAAATCTATGTATTATCTATATTACTTTCGATGTTACACCAACTTGTTTAAACTAGTTACAAGTTTTGAGTAAATTTATGACAAACTTCGTTTCAACCGCTGCTATTTCGAGGTTTGGTGTGTTATGCATACAAAACCTCGATACATAAATAGAGAAATAGAATCGGTACAGAACAACATTGACAATGCTTTTGAGTGGCTTTTCAGGGTATATCTTGGACTTGCATAGTTAAACTTTTTTTTTATGTCTGTCTTTTGTAAAAAACACCTGGATTAGAAAATTACTAGTCAAACCTTCACACCATTTAGGTCAATTTGTTCTTGAGTAATAGCTACTTTAACATTCAACTAGTTTTTTAAAAATCTGTAAGTAATTAGACTTCAGCATAGACACAGCCTATCGCAGTCCACTGCTGTACATAGCCCAGCTGATGATGATAGAGACAGCAGTGCGTAAAACTTATCATTAAATATTACTTTAAATAACATAGAAAGTAATATGAAATATTAAATACTATAAATAGAACGAGAAGAAAATCTCTCTCCTTATTATCTCCTACATTTTTAAATTATTATTTAAATTATTATCTCCAACAATCAATACGGAGTCAGAAGTAATAGATCCACAAATGATGCAGCGCACTAACTCGCTGAAAATATTATTCAGGCACTGGATAGCCGCAAGAAAAGTCTTCGGATCTGGCCAAGGCCATCGACACGGTCTCCATCCCCAAACTAATTCTCAAATTAGAGCGTATCGGTGTTAGAGACCAACAACTGAATCTTTTTATAAGCTATCTGACAAACCGAACACAATGTGTAAAGATTGGTAAGTAGATGTGTACCACAAGGAAGCATCCTCGGTCCCACACTCTTCTTAGTTCATCTTAATGAAATGTGCGAATTAAAAGTAACACATGGCAAACTCTTGGCATTTGCTGATGATACCACGCTTATTTTTACGTGCCAAACGTGGGAAGAAGTCTACGATGCGGTGCAAACCGGTTTCCATAGAATAACTAAGTGGTTAGCAGATAACACACTGGCACTTAATGTCGACAAGACTAAAATCATAAGATTTCAAATTAAAAAAAAAAAAACAATTTACCAAATAGATTTTCTATTACGGCTCATAACCATACCACATGCTGTTATCTGACATGCAATTGCCCTCAGTTACAAAATGCTGCTACCATTAGGTACCTAGGTGTAATTATAGACGAAAATCTTAGTTTCGTGCCGCACATTGAACTTTTAACAGGTAGAATACGTAAACTTATATTTATTTTCTTTATTTAACGAACCAAAAATCGTGAAAACAGTTTATTATGCCTTGTGCCAGTCCTTGTTGGGGTATTGTATCTTATCATGGGGTAGTGCCTTAAATACTAAATATTAAATTTATTAAGTTAGAGCGCGCACAGAGGGCTGTTTTAAAAGTATCCACCTTTAAACCATACCGCTATCCTACAAAAGAACTGTATGAGCACTGTGAAGTTCTAACAGTGCGTCAACTTTTCATTCTGCAAATTTTGCTAGAGCAACATTTGTTAAATCTCAAATCTCATCATCTTTCTTTATCACAGCGACCAACTTCAAGCAGGTTTAAACTTCCACCAGCTGACAGGCACAGGACATCTTTTAGTCATAGATTCTTTGGCTTTCTCGGACGATTCACTTACATAAAAGTCAACAAAGTTAAAAAAAATGACTGTAAAAATAAATATGAATGCAAAAGGATTGTAACCGACAGGCTGGTAAAACTAAGCTATGATGAAACGGAAGAACTTCTTCATCCGATCTTATGAATTAAAATGAAATCGAAATAGAAACATAACAAAAAACCACACACTGACACCGGGATAAACAGGCAGTCACGGAACCCAACACACGCATACACATACACACAGACACGCGCACACACACATACACACGCGCACACACACATACACACGAGCACACACACGCACACACATACCTAAGTTAATTGCATGTTTTTCTTGCTTTCAAGCTCTTGTAGTGTAGATTGTTCTAATTGCATCTTTATTGTTTTATAACTAGTTAAAAATGTATTTTAGTGATGCTGCAGATGTTGCTGGTACTTATAGCACAGCTATAGGTAATTTTAAGTACCAGCAGAACACTAGATAATGTTATTTGTGTCTGGACTATAATTTTGAAATGTCTTACATACAGAATGTATGTACTAATTTGTGGCAATAAAGAATTTTATTATTATTAATATTATTATTTTTAAAAAACTTACTTGTATTTTGGCGGGTTCTGATGTGACAGTGCCATCTAATATGAGTCCAGTTTCTAATTCATTGGAAAGGAATTTCATTAATTTCTCATGGTCGTGTGCTTCATTACTACCATGAGTCTCCATCAATACGTAAAATGGATAATCTGCGATCGGATTTCTGGGGGCATTGGATAAGTTTCAATTCAATCATTTGTTAACATAATTTCAATATATAAACTTATGGTCAGATCAAAACAATACATATCCACACTTCGAATCCCAAACAAAATTAAGACGATTGTAATTCAGTTAGGTATATGTAAATAAAACTTACCTCAAGTTGAGGTTTCTTATAGTCGAGTTAATAGAATCGAAGTCAGCCATCTCAAAAACTGAAAGGATCTCGCCTAGATTTGATTTAGCTCTTTGGTACAGTGTCAGTATATTACCGAAGTTCTTTATACCTGTACAAAATATTATATAATAGATTGATTGCTTGAATAGAATAGATTGATAGATTGTTGTTTTACTCAATTTTTTTGTAATTGCCGATAGTCATTATGATGATTCATGATAAAATAAAGATATTATGGTATTTACTATATACTTCCGACATCAGTGTACTGGTTTTTTTTTTGATATTTTCATTCAAGAAATCATGAAAGTAACATCTTTGTATTTTAAAACAATTTAAATGTAGTTACCGAAAAATCCCAAATTAATAGCATTAGGTTGTACAGGACAATGGATTGCGACTTTAGTAACTAAGCCCAATGTGCCTTCTGATCCAATAAACAGATGCTTCAAGTGATACCCAGTGTTGTCCTTTTTCAAAGATTTTAGACAATCTATGACAGTGCCGTCAGCTTTGACCTGGTGAAATAGGAGATTGTACATTCTAATACACGACGGGCCTGTTCTAACTTTTTAGCCTAGGAAAAATAATAAATTAATCTACCTATACAATGACGCATTATAGGTACTTTGTAAGTTTTGACCTTTAGATCACTATTTATAAATAAGCACGTAATTCCAGAATTGGTCGGTGCAAGTTTTAACTATCTATATGTATGAATTGTAACATTGTTTGAATTGGCGAGTAGACTACTAAATGACCAGGTATACCAAAGTTTATGGGCACATGTGCACATGTGCACACATACTTTTGATTAAAAAAATACGTTATAAGAAGTTATTTATCTGGCAACTTCGCAATAATTTAATAAATTAAATTTGTAACTATAACACAAATAAAGCCATTAGTCAGTGAACTAAATTAATTAAGGTGACGGAAATAGCTGCCGTCTCTTTCTGTTATGCTCGCGAAGGAGACGGCGGAGCGGGACCGGGAGAGGTTTAGAACTCTCCCGACCCGCCAGTCCCGGGAACGAGCCAGGTACCGCAGGCGACTCAGGCGCCGGAGGTCGCAGAAGTCCTCCATAAACGCAGGCCTGGGGGTGACAGGTGAGGCCATCTGTCACCCTAGCATAAGCAGGCCGGGGGCACAAGCACGCCGGGCGGCGAGCGCGTTGCGAAGCGCGCTCGCTTCCAGGGAGCAGAGGGAACATGGGGTTCTCACGCGGGGGGGGGGGTCGTCTACTCGTCTGTAGATGGCCCGAGGTATGTCGGGGCACCTTTCTAGGGTATACCTAGTTCCCCGGCTATTAGTACCCGAGACGGCGTGCGGTTTTAGTCGGTTCGAGTCCGACATGCCACCGATAGATGGTATCCGAGGGGATTTCCGCATGGAAAAAAAAAAAAAGTTGACGGAAATAGTGACTGCGTTCTTACACAACAGTTCGTTTACACATTAAAGTTATGCGTTGACAATAAATTCTACGATTTTGTTGCAGAGTAATGAAAATATTACAGTCAATGGAAATCTATCATTATAACAGGCAAAAAAATTAACTTACAGCCTCAATTCCGAGTATGGACCCATGTAAGTTGCCGTAACGCAGAAGCCGCAATCCTCCCGCATTGGTACTGACATTACCTCCAATTTGACATATTCCTTTAGCACCTAGATCTAGAGGCATTATGAGACCTCGATCACGGACGTAATTGTCTAAGTTTTCTAGCACACATCCAGCTTCACAGACTAAAGATCCTGTGAGGAAAAAAAAACATAAAACTGATCACCAGAATTGTTTCATTAGATCAATTATATATTGTTTCATACATCAATGTTTCATTAGGCCCTACAGAAATTTTGTTGTCGTTATATCATGTTCGACATTCATACGAACTGAACAAACGAACCATCTCCTCAGTCGGTTATATAAATATATGCACATATATATATAATCTGAATCTCGGCAACGGCTGCAACGATTTTCATGAAATTTAGTATGCAGGAGGTTTCGGGGGCGATTAATCAATCTAGCTAAGTTTATTTTTTTAGAAAACTTACCAAAAGAAAAATACGGAGCAAAGCTCGTCATTCAGGTACTGTTTTTCTTATACAACACTTCATTCACACCACACACACACACACACACTATTTTAATAAGGAAATTCTTAAACAATGAAATTCACACACAATTAAAGTTCACAACAACTGTACACACGCGTAGTTCAAGACGCAAACTTCTTAAAACTCTCTAAACCCAGGACTAATTACGGAAAAAATAATATTATGTATCAAGGGGCACGGATCTACAACTTACTACCCAAAAATATAAAAGACGCGAAGTCGCTGGTATTACTTAAAAAGCTATTAAAAGACCACATTTTCAAAGGCACCACCTGAAATTCATTCTAAAACCTTTGACTACTGATAAAATTCATGCACTACTATTTTTGTTGTTATATTATCATATGTATTTTTTTTTTGGCAATTAATTTTTTACAGTGTTGTAAAACATAACTTGTTCGTGTGGCAGTCGTCGTCCGTCTGCCGCGTCACTGCCACACGAATGAAAGTTGTATATTTACAAGCCCACGCACACATAGGGCCGCGCGCACAACTGAGTTGAACTATCTATAAAAGAAAAAAGAAAAAGAAAAACTATTTGCATCACAAGGTAATTACTGCATACTACCCACCATTATATTTGCTCCACTACAAACCAGTATTAGATCGGACAACTTAATTTTAAGAAGTACCTACATCGCATAAAAATCAGTTTGGAATTATCTACATGTCAACGTTTACTTTTATCTTTTATAATTTGTATTTTATTTCTCCTTGTAAGTGATTTGTGTAATCTTGAGAAATAAAGTGATATTTAAACCGTAATAATTATAAAGCCTCAAATAAAAAATAAGCGCTGAAGGTAAGGAACCAACCTGATACATCATCTAAATTAATGACTTTATTCATCAAAGCTAAGTTCAAGATAATTTCATCGAAAACAGGCACAGAACCACCAGCGATCCCCGTATTTCCTCCTTGAGGACAAACCGCCAGTCGTCTCTCATTGCAATGTTTTAAAATTTTTGATACTTCCTTTGTAGTTTTTGGTTTTAGTACCAGCTTGGATTGACCTGAGAACCACGAAAAGTGTAGAATGAATAACATGTTCATATTGTTCATATATTAAATTGTATACTAGAAAACTAAAACTGCTTAAAATAAAACTTAAACATGCTTATGCAGGACTTGGACTAGCCATAAGGTTTTGGAACCACAACGTGGAAAAAAGCGTTTGAAAGTGTAGTTAAGTAGTTTCAATTACTTTAATTAAAATAGTTTTTTGTTTCAAATGGTGAACAGTCTTGAATTCCATTCAAGCCTGTTTGAACATTAAAGTATTTCGACCGATTTTACAAAACGTACCTCTGCAACTTTTTAGCCAATCAATGTTGTATGGTAATATGTCATTTTCATCAGTTAACACCCGTTGTTCATCGAGTATTGATTTGAAAAATCCAACGTCTGAAGAGTCAACAACACCGAAGTTCTTTCTTTCTATTTTGTATTTAAGCTGCAAAATAAAATCTTATAATGCATAATTTACTTCCAATATGTCTGTATCATTAAAACTGGAGCTCTACTCTAGTTGGAATTTGTTCTAATTGAATCCTTACGGAAATAATCCTAGAGTTTATGGTACCCATAAGAAACTGAATGACACAGTAATGGATCTCAAACCGAGTTCGATTCAATCATACGACCTATAAGACACATCTATAAGATGAAGAGAACTTTACCTACACCTCTTAACTGACCTCCCTTGAAAGCTGAATTTATAACGAAACATAATATTTACATTTGGCTCAATTTTAACTTTTAACTAGACATTTATCTTCAATTTAAACACTTATTGAACAAATGTTTTGCTTATACTGCACGGCTGTTCGATTCTAGGTCAAACTTATATCAATAACACCAAAGAAATTCTTATCATCTTAAAAGTATGCACATACGCAACATTGTTACCGCCATTTTACGCCTATGTGCCTAAAATGTACTTATATAATATACTTATGGATTAAGTGCCCACAATCGCCACACCTTCGTCATTTTTTAAAAGTCAAAAGTTTTTCTGCTCATATACCCAATAAATTATGGTGGTTTTGGCAGCGGCACTAAAACACCTACTCCAATATGTTGTTGCAAAACTATCCGTTTTTTCAGTATCGTTTTATACCATTGATATATTTGTATATCAATGTTTTATACTCATAATATAACTATAACAGGTTTAATTTAACACGTCAAGTCACTATAATTGACCCAGAACCGAACCGTATTTTTTTAATGTCTTCTAATTAGTATTAAATGGACCTTAGTACTTCTTAAGTTCCTATTATAGTTGCTGGAAACACAATCACGAAAATTTAAGGTGACAAATAATATAGAATAATTTTAAATAATAATTTTTAGGTGGCAAAATATTGTATCGAAGTTTGTGTCTGAGACACTAATAGTAGGTATTAGAATTTATCCAGTTTAGGGGTATAAAAATTGATTACAATAAACACCTCCCTGAATATTCAAAATATATAAAAATATACATATCTCTGAAGTCTCCTGGCTATTTAATTCATCTTTTTTTTGCAAGAATTAGATTTTTTTTCTGTCTTTAATGATAGGCTTCGCATAAGGAATTATGATCCCAAAATTGAAAGTAAATATAATCAACTGTTTGATGTATGCAATTTGTTATTGCTATAAACCTAAAATGGTTCCAAAAATACAATGTATGTTAAAAGTAGTATGTTGAAGCAACATCGGCTAGTAGGTACTATACGTGTACTATACACACTCATTGGGTTACTTATTTATGCCCCTGTTTACGCCTCTATTTAAACAGGGACCACTAGATATCTACTTTAGAATATAATATGCCTGGCCTTTGGGTTAAATACTAACTTGATAGAAATTTATTAAATTAGTTGATGAAATAAAAACCATGAGTATGTAATTCTCTTCACTACTCTCTTCGGCACTCCTGATGCTAGATTATAAATCCGATTTATATTTATCCGTTATTTTCCGTTCCATTATTTATATAAAATATCTCACCGATGAAAACTGGGGAAGAACTTGAGACGCATTCCTAATTTGTAACACAATATTATTTTTACAATGTAATCGTGCGATCGACCTTAAAGATTTTTTCATTTTAGGACAGAATGAGGGTTGAGAAAGAATTAGGTACACCAGCTAAGAAGAATAGAAGTAAACTACTGCGTGCGTACCAATAAACTTTACCAATGTATCATACCATAATGCACTAAAGATAACAGGGCCGCGGGTTATTTTTGGTATGATAACGATAGTCAAGTCACAAGTGTCGTGTTTCTTTTAGTTCAACGCTTATTTTTTGTTTTATGATATTTAAAATAATAATAAATTAATAATAAAATACTGTTAATTTTACGTTTGCATATGTGTTTGTGTGTGCGTCTCTCTCTCTCCTCTCTCTCTCTCTCTCTCTCTCTCTCTCTCTCTCTCTCTCTCTCTCTCTGTCTCTCTCTCTCTCTCTCTCTCTCTCTCTCTCTCTCTCTCTCTCTCTCTGTGTGTGTGTGTGTGTATGTGTGTACGTGCGTGTACCTATTGAAAGTAGGGTTTTGAACTGAGTTGTTACGAAAAATAAGTTTTCTACATCATCGTACCCAAAATTCTTAAGCCATGTTAAATTTTGTGTTTTATATATATGGTAGTTTTATAAATGTCTGGTTTTTTACTTTAAATTAAGTTTATTTATAATCTACGCTAGAATGTTACTATATCGCTGTCAACCCTTCTGAGCAAATAATTCGAAGTTGAATATGCGAAGTGGAAGTGTTTTCGGAGTCGACTTTTTGGCGACATACAAATTCAAATAGTTTATTGCTAATACAGGTTATTACAATTAGTGCTAACATAGTTTTATTAGTTATAGATTAAGCATTTAGTGCAGCTATATTCCGCCATTTAGCAAGCAATATTTATCACATTTCATCAGGAACTTTTATTTTAAATCATTAAATTATTAAGACAAGCTCTAGTTATAATTAGAGTTCACACATAATCAAAAAATATAATATAATATGTGATTATTACGTTTACTCTGTAGGCGTTCAAACAAAGAAACATCAACACGTACTACAGCACCATCTAACGAAGACACCGAACTACGGAGTAACTCCTGAATAAGAATTGCTAATCATGTATCTCGATATGAAGAATTTTCTCGCCGATCAGCATATAACTATAACTTTCCAACATCAACCGTTGAGCCCCGGCCCGCCAGGCATTTTCACCTCGTCTGGTCGGAGGATCCACCCTTTGTGTTGGAGGGACACGACATCCGTTCCCCCACAACGCCATAGTTGTACTGAAGTATAGAAGTTTTGTTTTATCGACATTGAGTGATAGTCTACTATATTCAAGCCAAGCAGTAATATGGTACATACATTTTTCAGCTATTTGTCCTACAATCTACCATACCACAGTGGACAGTCTGTCCATACGGTCGGGCCTCAGTTGCTCAAGACCCGTCGTACAAATAGAACTAAGAGGTTCTCTGACCACACTCTCAGGCTCATGGAGTAAACGCGAAACATGATTCTGCAGTTTTCAGACTATGCGTCTAAATCCCGGCAGCTCAATAGGCAAGTCTGAAAGTGTCAGAGAAAAGACCTACGCCCATTTAATACCATGCGTATTAAATAGGCCATAGAGCGAAACCAAGGGCCTAAAGTATTCCCAAAAGCTCTGTCATGAACGGTCAGAACCAGTTGACGAAACTGAATGATGAGGGCAGAATTTAAACGTCGAGACCTGAGCTTCTGAGTGAGGTAAAGAGGTTCTATGGACAGTTGTACACGGCAACACTGGACCGGACCGGAGTTGCCGAAATATTCAAGGACATATACCGAACTTATACCGAAGACATACAGTACTGCCTCAAATAGCTCAAAAATAACAATGGACTTGTGAAGGCAGGCGGAAAGCCGGTATTGAAAATCCTTCAGAAGATATTAAATTACGTTATACTCGATGGGAAGCCACCTCGGGCATGGCTCAGAAGTGTGGTGGTGCTTTTCTTCAAAAAGGGCGGTGACACCCTGTTGAAGAAGTATAGACCCATCTCTCTTCTCAGTCATGTCTATAAACTGTTCTCGAGAGCATTTGTCGACTTCCACCCTACCGAACAAGCCGGCTTCCGAAAAGGCTCTAGTACCATAGACCACCTACATACGCTGCGGAAGGTTATACAGAAAAGAAAGAAAAAGAGGTCAATCGTCGAATCCAACTAGGTTGGGTAACGTCCGGACGCGGATGACATTTTCGCGTCCCAAACACCGCAGTGTCTCAAGACATGTTTTCATGGTTATGTTAAACCTTGGGGGAAGCCATGTTAAGCAGTGCAATTGACAAACATTTGTATGTCAGCACCCTGAACTTTTAATTTACATACGTCATTAACCTATGTAAGAAAGAGCATAGGACCGAGGGTGCTACCTTATGGAACCCCATATGAGGAGTTACTAATATGGTATTCAACACTAATAATAGAAACGGTATCAATCTATATCAAGGAATACGGTTAAACATTTATCGCCCCTGTCAATGTAAGATGTAATATTAGATGTAAGTTCTAATACAGCGTCGTCAGTAGTGATTGGTTCGAAAATCGTATTGTTTCAACCAAGAAGTTCATTGCTGTCCATATAAGTTATTAAATGTTTATTCCAAAATCACAAATTAACAACATTCACTTTTAAAACGGTGTTCTTCTTTTCTTTCGATATTATGTAGTCAAAGATATCAAATACTCGACATAACAATAATTGAAAACAACGAACGAAAGTTTAGCGTCTCGAATTTATAAAAGCTGGCAACTCAGAAAGCAGTGTTTGTAATTTTGTATAATCTACTTCTTGACATACTCTATATAAAGAATCCTGACATTTCACTTCTTGTCGTCTTGTCTTATTATTGATAATTTTCTGACTGAAACTTAAAGTTCGCACGTGTTTGTATCTCTAAAATGGTAAAACTAAAATCAAAAAATATGAAGAAAAAAGAAAATATTATTGTGCCATCTAAAAAAGATGGGGCAGATTTGTTAATATTACCACCTGTTCGTATGTCAGACGATCCGGCACCGAAACAGGTTAGGATGAGAATAATTGTTTTGACGCGATTTCTATTATTTTAAGGGTTACTAAGAGGAATAGTAATATATATATTTTATAATATGAAATTTTATGTAATCCTATAAATGATATTGAGATAAAAGTAAATCTTTACAGACGAGGTGGATCAATAGGCAAAGAGTTTTAGTCTTCGCTGCACGTGGTATAAATCATCGTCATCGTCATCTGATGGAAGATATTAAGAAACTGATGCCACATCACAAAACAGAATCTAAAATGGAGAGAAGTAAAAACTTGTATGTGGTCAATGAAATCAGCGAAATGAAGAACTGCAATAAATGCATACTCTTTGAAGGCAGGAAAATGAGGGATTTGTATATGTGGATGGCTAACATTCCCAATGGTCCTAGTGCAAAATTTCTAGTTGAAAATAGTAAGTGTAGTCATTATTATTACATGACTAAAGGCACAATGGTTTCTTACCATTTATATTATTTAATTTGAATTGTATTGGTCAACTTACTACACTTATAGACATATAATTTAGTATCCCACATTATTTTCTGGCGTGTTAAGATATTAACTTAGGTATTGACTTAGTGATGTGTTCATTATTCATATTAATTAGGAACTTTAGGGTAAGCTTATGTTAGCTGTAATTCACTAATAGAAGTCACAAAGTTGCTATTTAGAGACTAGGTCTTTTTATGTTTCTTATGGTTCACCTATTTAAAGTTAGGCTAAGCTAATGTAGGTATGGAGTAGAAGCGCTCCAACTGGTCATGTAGATATCATAAATATATAAGCTATTGAACATATTAACCTACTTTTTTATGTATTCTTGTAAATTGATAATAATATAATATCACATCATCAGTACACAACATAAAACACAAGTTATATCAATTAGGAAGGCATTAAAAGGTAAAGGGGTAATACTAAATATGTTTTTGGGATCACCAAGAATCACCTGTATGTTGTTTCTAAAAAGAACCTACTCTTATAATTTAAATACAAGAGCTTTAATGGGTCTATTCTTTCATTGTCTTATTAGCAGAGCTATAGTTAAACCGCCGTAAGCTTGGCCCTCCTGATGGTTTGGGGGACGCGGGGCGGGGTTGCATTCAACCAATTAGCTAGTGTGTCGCTGTTCGCCAGCATTGACTGACGTGAAAGGATGGCTGTACGTGTTATTTTTCTTGAGACTGCTACACACAGTATTATTTTGCAACATGGATAATCTGCCGACTCTGCGTCACAAAAAGATTTAAAGACTTGAAGTTCGACTTACAGATGTTCTACTGTTAAAGTTCTAATAAAGAATATTTATTAATTTACTTAATTTTTAAATTGTATCTGAATATAATTTACATGATGAAGATAAGGTGATTTTATTAAAATTATTTAACAGTATTACATTTTACAATTAATCATAAAAACTTACAATACACTGACATTATAATACATGGCAATAAATTCGATTTTTATTAAATCGTGTGTAGATTAAATCTCAAACAAATAAATCTGAACATATCGAGTTAGTACATCGTGTCATGTAACCATCAGGAGGGCCAAGCTTACAGCGGTTTAACTATAAATAATGCTATTTTAGATCTCATTCTTTGTTTAGATAGTCAATAAAGCTTAACTCTTCACATGCCACTACACTGTAAAGTGCTTTCACCGGTAAGCGCTGTACAGTGTAGTGGCATATCAGAGGTTAATATCACAATTGGGACTAGGAACATATTTTCTAAATTACTTTTAAATGAATTGAATTAATTTAAAATGAGTTTTTTGTTACAGTTTACACAATGGGGGAACTGAAAATGACAGGCAATTGTCTGAGAGGTTCCAGACCTCTTTTATCATTTGACCCAATGTTTACAAAAGACCCACATTATGCCATACTAAAGGAACTACTGGTGCAAATATTTGGTGTGCCCAACCACCACCCCAAAAGCCAGCCATTTTTTGATCATGTGTACACATTTATGATACTTGATAACAGGATTTGGTTTAGAAATTATCAAATTTTATCTGAAGATGGTGCCCTTGCTGAAATTGGACCAAGATTTGTTTTGAATCCTGTAAGTATACAATATTATCTTTCATAAATCCTTGAGAAAAAAATGCATCTGAAAAATTACACAATATAAATTTTTCCATTGAAGGTAAAAATATTTTCTGGATCATTTGGTGGTGCAACACTGTGGGAGAATTCTAAGTATGTTAGTCCAGCCAAATTAAGACAGGCAGCTTCCAAAAAGGCTAGCAACAAGTATGAAAACAGAATTGAAAAGAAAGCTGTTTATGAAGCCACTAAACCAGAGACTGGTTATCCAGACATAGAAGGTGCTGACTTCTTTAAAGGAGATGCTATGGAAAAAGCACAAGAAGTGGTCATTAAAGGTAAGTTGTCATTAAATCCTTATTGATAAATGGTAGGTTAGGCAAACTAGACTAGTAATTTGCAATTCAGACTTGCAATGATGTTTTACTGGACTTGAGCTGACAACAAATTACACTTATCATGCTTTAATGACTATGGGAATGTATCTATATTCATGTAAATGTTATACTTTTTTCTAGTAAATTCAAGTTTAATGACAATAACATCCTATAATGTCAGCCTAAGCCTATTAATACTAGTCCTTTTGTATCTGTCAATTAATCAATCACCTATAACAATCTATTAAATTTTAGAAGAAGTAGATGCTCAATCCATGGAGGAAGAAAGTGATGTCAGGTCAAGACCAACAAAACAAAAACCAGTGTTTAGTATGAGACTCAAAACAAAGCCAGACAAGACTATCAGACGTAAACAACTTAAAGCTAAAAGTAAGGCAATTTCAGACCAAATTAAGAAGCGTAAGCAGTTTAAAAAGAAAAAACCCAGTAAAAGTTGATTTAATAATAAAGTTTATTGTTCACACATTAGATTTTTACTCAAACTTGCATTAGAAGTATTAAAACAAGACACCTAACAGAAGTAGTCAAATACCTTTTGAAATATTATGTAAGAATATTATAAAAAAACATTATTATTTAAATAAGCGTATTAAAAGTATGGACGGCTACTTATTATCTTTTAACATGTATCTGTTCTTTCTGGAGACCAGTTCAAGAGCGCAAACTTGTCGCAATTACGAAAGAAAGATAGAGAGAAGACTAACATTGTAATGTGCTGTTGGAAACATGCTGGTAGCTGACAATTTATTATTTCCGATTTTAATGAGATGGTATTCTGGATCCATTGCCAATGCTCATATAATATCCGAAGAATGCACTTGCTCCATGGACAGATGTACCTCTTCAGATTATATGAGCCTAGGCAAAGAAATACAAATCAGTGTCTGAACGTTACATAGATTTGAGCAATTACGAAACAAAGACAAATCTAAAGTTGATAAAGCGGCCAATAAACAGTCTGTAAAATATTTTATCTTATATATATTATTATTATTATTATATATGTAAAAACTTAAACTATGCATAAACATTAATAAAATTGTACTCTTCAATAGCCTTAAAATAGGGCAAATGTCAACACTTGATTGGATTAAATAGATCATATACTTCAACTGACTTAACTGTCAATTAATCTTCAGATAAGAATTCATTTTTTACCGCTTTTCACTTAAAATATAACATTACTTTGGGGTTTTTGCCCTTTTTTACTCTTTTATAACATCATTTTACTACTGTGTATAAGTTTAGTGACATTATTAATGTTTTTTGTCAAGGATGCTTAAAGTCATATCAAAATGCATTGACAAACATATAAATATATGTGTGCCAATGGTACAATACTCAATAATGGTAAAGGTATATAGACTGTTGTTTGCATAAATAAGGGCAAACACTCGAGAGTAAACTATAAAACAGACCAGGTTTTTTTTACAAAATATTTCTGTGATTATAAAGATATCTAAATATCATGTAAAATTACAATAAAACACATGTTAGGTTTACTATTACTAACGAGATTTCCAATTCAAAATAATATTCGAGGGTAAAAATATGTATATAATAAAAATGCAGATACATTTTGACAACATCCAAATGACTACTGTGACAATACTTTTAAATGCAGTAGTGTAAGACACAAGGCTTTCTTTTATAAAATATTTATGTGCTCATAAACATTTCTAAAACTACAAACACACGTTTTGTTAAATATTACTAACGCGATTCTAGGTAAAAAAAATTACGTCATATAAAAATACTATGAACTATACTAAAGATGGATATCGATCGTGCATTGTCCGATTCTATACTGACCGCGGAGAGTAATGTCATCATAGAGATTTTAAGCAAAGGGAGAAGTTGCATGTAAGTGGAAGCGATACATGCAACGGGAGAGATGGATGCCCGATAGTTTCCTCTGTCTCTGTTTAGCTTAACCTGCGATTGGCTACTGATTAACCCCTCATATTCCCCAGCCAACCACAGAGCTAGAAAGAGATAGATGCATCTATCTATCTCTCGTTGCCTATATTGCAAGATTGGGGCTCTTTTTCACTCTATGCTTATGTTCTATGGATGTTATATTAGGTCATTTTTCGCTTTTTTACTTCTGGGTCATTGTCAACACACCTACAGAAATTTTATAATAATAAAATTATAAATACTTTATTCATGTTATATAGTATTTCAGACAATTATCATCTAAAACTAATTAAACTAACTAAATTTGGTAATACCTAACTTCCAGTTAGGTATTACCAAAATAAACAACTCATACGATGATTTTCATGTATGTGCATAATTTAAAATCAACGACACCCAATGCAAATGTGAACGCCGATACCCACCACACCATTCGGCATCCATATATTTTAAACCCTGACCAAAAAAATGCTGTTACGTAGTTTGCTAGCTTTCACATTCTGGCAAAATGTAACTAACATTTTCATTGTCAGGTTATTCAGGGCGGCTTGTGTAATTCTTTCAAAAAACATCATTAAATGCATTATACAAATTGTACCTATTACAGTTATTGTTAATAATATTATTTGTGACACATATGTAGCTCGAATCTGCTTTTTATTTACAATTTAACGAAATAATAATATAATTGTAAAACTAAGTAATATCCTATCAGGATATTATGTAAAATTACATCAAATCGAAGTCAGCCAGTATAAAATTACTGTATAGAGTAAAAATATATAAAGAGTTAAAAGCGATTGAGATTTTCCGTAATATGAAAATTGAGGTTCCATTTCAGCAACATTTATCTGTGAAAAGAAACATTCATTAAGCACTGGTGTCGAGTAATTAATTATACTAATCTTATAATGAGATTATACTACACGACATGTTTATTTGCAGTATTTATAGGCCCGCTCCGCTTGTGCCGGCCACTTTACCTTAAAATCTATGATATCTACTAAGATATTCATTTTAATGATATTATGTACTAGGCAATTTTGATCTACATTAAATGCTCAACGAGCCTAACGTATTTATAATACTATATTCTTCAAAATAGCTTCGTAAATCACCCATTATTTTTTGTAATATGTAAAAGATAAAAATGTTTACTGTGGGTTAACCTTAGGAGATAAGACTTAATATACCATCGCGGACTTTTTGATCTTTTTAGGATATACAATTCTGTTGTACATTATTTTGATCTATCTCATAAAGGTTAGCCAGCTATTAGCGGTTGCAATATTAGCGCATAACGTGTTTTTTACGACTTTACATTACAAATCTTTGAAATTATCAGTTTTACCTCTACTAAAACATGCATGTATTATACATATAAATCACTCTTGAATCTCTCTCACTACAATTAAAATCCGCCCCGAAGTTTAAAAGATCTAAGTGTTGCAGGCTATGTAATGTCTTGTTGCTCTTAATATTGCTTTTAACCGACTCCAAAAAGGAGGAGGTCTTCAATTCCTAAGTTTTTTTTTATGTGTGTTCGGGCATAACTCCGTCAAATATAGGATTTGCAAAATTTTAAGTCCTAATCCTTATAATTTCCACAAATAAGACATTGCCGATTTGATTGCAGATACAGTGTCAGAAAGTTAGATTTTAAAACCAATAACATACTGAAGTATTACTAAATCAGATTGATATGATATGTAAAGATAATTTCAAAAAGCTTTTTAAAAACTGGCACCACACAAGAACTAGCGACAATATATAAATTATTTATGACTAAAACACATTGTTTGTCACCAGTACTTGTCTTGCAAATCCTGCAGTTCCGCTCCATCTTCATTGTCCCTTCCATTCTTTGCGTTATGGCCACCGAGTTCCGCCAATCGAGATTTTTTCCACCTCCCGTCATCACCGTTCATATTTCGATCCTCACACACACAAAGGAATAAGGAATCAACTACCATCTGTTGAAAAAGAATTGTGGGTGTAATTTCAAGATAATACTTGCCAATTTAATATATTATTTGTTGTATATTTCGTTGGTGGTTCGCTTTACAAATAGGTTTTGGAACAAGATGGATTTAAAAAGTTAAATATTTGAATTGTCGATCTTGTCCAACTTTATTTTAATATTATTAAACGGGTTTTTCTTTCAATATTCTTCACTGTTCTTCAGGCGCTCAAACGTTAAGATTTTTATAAAACAAAAGTACTAGAAATATAAGTAAAAGGAAGTAGGTAAAGATGGAACAAAAAACAAACCTCGTAAAGTGAAAGAATACAATGCGCAATGAAAAATGAGTAAATGCAGATCACTAGAGTTGGTACAGCAAAAAAGTGTAGATCGGAGTTGCGTTTGAGAAGTAGTAGGCCAATACTTCCTGTCACTGCAGTCACTATACACTTGCCCAGGAACAGTATGAAGTCGCCCACACTGTTTATTGTCGCCACTTGAAGGGCATTGTTTACTATTGTGCCGAATGCCTGAAATCGACAATATTTTTTTCAGAATTCGGCTTATTTAAGAAGAAACAAAACCATAGGTTATTTAATAAACAAGTCAAAATATGTAGGCACATCAATTTCTTTAAACCAAGGCCACTGTGTTGTTTTAAATTGGAATATAATCACTACTCGGCATAACATGAGTTTAGTTCTAGAAACAAGGCACACAGTTGATTGGTTAAGGTTTTACATACTAATCATTACTAATTATTATTAGTACTCTACATAATTTAATGATAAAATGTCACTAATGTCCCTGTCACTAATCATACCTTAGCTGCTGCTTTGCAGAAATGACACCTTTCAATGGTGATGATGGTGTAGGCATTATGATTTAAATAACGAATGAATTTTTCAAGGCAGTAAAAACAACAAATACCGCATTTTAGACCACATTTCGCGCAATCTGATCCCTTTTCTGCCCTGGCCGATAACCTAAAAAAGTATATAATTATGTTTATACATCGTAATTATTATTTCGGCTACCAGAAGACATTGCCTTCTACCCACTGTCGCCAAGCGATCATTATAAAGCCGTTTATCAAGTTGTATCGCTATGACAAATGACAATCTGTAAAATAGTCTCAGTCAGTAAATATCTTACACGATGACGAGTAGGCCAAAACCTCCTTTTTAAGGAGAGGCCTGTGTCCAGCAGTGGACTAGCAAAGGCTGTTGATGATAATGGATGACGTGTAAGATGACTGAATTGAGACCTTTAAATCCATTTATACTTACTTGGCGTGCAAATACGTCAAGATAAGTCGAGGTATTTTGAACAGTGTAATCAGGAATGACCCTTTGGCGACTGATCCTAAATGGTACTTTACAAGCTTGCCAATTGAGTACAGCACTGGTGATGGATGAGCGTTCGGACCTCTGAAAACAACAGTACAATACTTTTAAATTAGTTAAAAATATACATCTGCTACATTTTTGCTTAATATATGTAATTATGTTGAAATAATCACATACATTATACGGTCACTAATAATATTTTACTAATACAGCCCGTGCTACTCCAATAGACCAGGGTCGATAATTTTGAAAATGGTAAAAAGTGAAAAAAAATATGGATGAAACCCGTTAAAAAAGGACGAGAATATAACAAAATGAAAGGAAAAATAATTAACGGGCGATCTGAGGTCGAGAAGTAGAAGGGGGTGAGTTTTTAAGGGTAAAAAACGGTGTATCTCGATTTCCGGCAAAACTAAAAGTCCTATGGAAAAAAAAAAATGACAAAGTTGTTGGTAATAAAAAGACCTACAACTTTTGTAATTACTTTTTTCACATAACCTCAAAATTTATGTGAAAAATTCAAATAATCAAGTTTCTGGTTTTTTATTTTTCTTATGCAAAAAAAAATCTTTTTTCACGAAATTTGGTGAAAACTTACCTTTGTGTCCTAAAGACACTGTAATTTTTTTTATTTGAAATATTTATTTTGTCACCTTATTTTGACTTAATGTAATTAGAAAAAAAACACCCTAATTTTCTATCAGTATAAAGTATCTAAATTCAAGAGTACGATTTACATTTCTATTCATATATTATGAGATTTTCTATGACATAAATGTAATTAGAATTTAATAAATCAACTTTTTGACTAAAAAAAATTGAAGCAATCACATTTTTTAATTGAAATCCCCCCTTTAAATCCTATCTTTAATATTTAGAACAACTATTTTCGCATGTTTCTTGCAATCTTTATGATTTATGGATTTGTAATTTTTTTGTTTATCAATGTAACATAGAATATTACGTTTTTCAAGTAATTAAAGTGTAAATTTTACTAAATAGCTCAAAATTGTACATAGTAAATAAAAAAAAATCGGATTCGAGTTTTTTTCTTTTCTTTGAATTTACTGAGAACATTTACCATAGTAATGTATATATTTGTTTTCATTATCAGAAAGAAGAGACTTCAACGAACAAAAAACTCCCCGACTTTTTTTAAAAAGCTGATATTTTGACGCGAGAATTTTCGATTGACAATTAGGGTGTTTTTTCTTTTTCTTCTGATTTACAGTTGATCGCACTTCTTATGGTTATTAACAAACCGCCCCGTTTGTAAGAATTGTACCGACCTAAACCACACGGTGTGCCACTCTGCATCTGATATAGGAGGGATCCGGGAACCATAGTCATTAAGACTTCCAGAAAAAAATTACAATGGATTTAAAAATAACAAAATTACAAATTACAATTACAAATTACAAATGGATTTAAAAATAACAATTAAAAGTTGCGTCACCAAATATTTGCTTTGTTTGTTTAACTTAAGCTCATCTTCTTCAATACAGGACACTAAAATTGTTGTCTTCATTATTATATTTTGCCCTAACTAAATTTCAGTGTTGCAATGGAACCTGTATTTCATGAATTGTTTGAAATTTTTTGTCACAACAAAATCAAGTGTAAGCCAGGGTGAAGGGTGGGGCATGTGCCCACCTAGCCTACCTAGCTTAGCTAAAAACAGTGCAGTTTTAAACAGTGTTCTAGTATCTATAAAGTTTGTTTATATTTAGTATAACTCACCTGAAATACCAATGTGATACGGCCCCTGCTATGGTCATCTGTTGACATCCAAGTATAAATTCACTGCCCCATATCAAGCACACGAGGCAAATCCACCACATACTCTTAACCCACATGGGGTTGAACTCGATAGTATCCAAAGCATAAGCTGCAACATAATCATGAACATCGTATTTATACTTTTGCTGTCATGTAAGTTATGATTTCATGACATATGAATATTTCGTTACTATAATTAAGGACAAAAGTTTCTAAAAAATATCTTTGTCAATTTTACACTTGTACTAATGAATTATTTCTCGTAGCTAAACTTTTTAATACTTAGGCAAAATTAAAATAAATATCTATGAATCTATAAATAAATATATATACCTTATAAAATAAATATCACAAATAAAATTGTGGTGTTGTAAATTATATTTTAGTCACCATCATCATCATCATTATTTTTTTCTCCCGCAGTAGGAATAAGTCCTGTGTCGCGGGGGCTTTACAAACATACATAAAACGGACATATAGGGTATAGGGTTGTCAAGTTCTCCTTCTCTTCTCTTGCTGTTGTCCTGCGTAGTTTGCTCCCTACGACACCAACGAGATAATTAGGAGTTGTAATAGTATGTATTCTTAATCCGTCACCACACGGAAAATATATATTAGCTACTATGGTATCAAAATTATTTACTTTTAAAATTAGCACTCCTATTGATGTCTTGCGCCTCTATAGCGGCTTTATCGATTTCATCAGGCGGTAACGTACCGTTAATAAAGAAATTTGTTTTATACGGAATACCAGGATAATTAGCTGTTGCCAGACAGACCTGAAACCAAAATATTTATTTAAGTTTGTTATATAACCTGTAGGTACAGTGAAGTAATTAACAAAAAAACAGCTTTCGCAATGAACGCGCTGTGTTGACTCTCAATTTGGTGTTGACTCTCAATTTGGTGTTGAATTCGTCTATCAGTACTACTTTATAAGTCAGTTCGAATGATTTAGATATATGTTAACGTTATCTATATAAAACTTAACGATTGCACGATGCAGCGGCTCCGTCAGATTTGAACCAACTAAAACCTCATAGAATATGATTCGGGGTCCAGGTATGGCGCAAACGAATCATCACTTGATACTCGCCTGACTCTTCAGCTTGGAGAGGCGCTCATGGAATCACGTCATATCTCCAGGCCTCTGGTAGATCTGAAGGAGAAGGAGGAACGAGGCTGAAGGAAAGCCTCTCAGAATACTATTATAGCCGGAACATAAATACTGGAGGAGAGAAACACAGATACCGAAGCGGGCTATTCAAGCCCCGCGTTGATGTAAAAATAATATAGCTACAACTTTCTAGAACTTACCACAACAGTTGACCAAAATGTCAGGAACAATACAAGGAAGAAAAATGTTATTATAGGCTGAAAAAACAGCGATGGAATTGAGGCCAGGCAATGAGCGGTTTCCTTAAACAGTGCCGCTAGGAATGATACGCGGGACCGCATCACGAACACCAGTAGAAGTAAAATTACCTGAGAAATAAATAATTATTTATTTTATTTAAAATATAAATATTTTTTTGACAAAAAACATAAGAAATCACTAAAAAGGTTAGCAACTGTGTGTTACCTTGCACTGCGAAAAATGAAATAAAAATACTAATAAAAGAAAAGGCAAGAAGTGAAGCTACAGTAGCCATGGTTAAAGCGTCTTCTTGCCATTGAATTGTTGGGAGTTCACACCCTAACCCACACCTTACACAGGCAGTTAACGTAGTTGAGTTGAATGTAAACCAAAGCTATTAGAATACTCTATTTTCTTGCAATGAGCTTCATTTCGCATTTTTAAATAAGTATGCATAAACGTTACCATTTAGGAAAAGGGACTAATTGAACTTACGTATCTACATTTTAAAAATTGTGTGGAAAATACTCACTGTTATTATCGTAGCGATAATGGAATACCACAAGAATGCACTCTCGTTCTTCAAAGATTCCTTCAAAAGTATACTAATTAATTTAAATGTCATAGAATTAACTCAATTTCATTTTAAGATAATTAGAAATTACTTACAGATAAATATGTATGATTGTCAAAATTCTTTTGCTTTGTCCTCAATTCGTGATACGTGTACCAAAGCAAACCTGTACCGACAATACTAGTAATCGATACCAATATCATGAATATCCAGGATACCAGGGTAGCAAGCAAGTGAAGAATTGAAACCATGATTAGAGAGCAAACTGAAAGAATAAAACAACTATTCATTCAAGAAACCTTAGGATTACGTTAAATTTGGCAAGAAATTAAACTAATATACAATTTACTTTTCAATATTCAAACTATTAAAGAAGAAAACATTGTTCTACCCATAGTCTGATATCCAGGTATGCTCATAACAGTTACGCTAAGCAAAACTACACTATAATAGTAAACTAATTTGTAGTCTGTATAAACGTAAAAATTATGCTTTAAGACTTCAGGGTATTTTTATAAAAGAAAAACAAACAAAACAAAGTAGTATTCACTTCGTGAAGAGTGTTTGTATAGTTAATATCACTAGGTAGTCTCAGTTTTCTTATCAGCTTTCCTACCTTTCATCTTTATTAACTAGTTTCCGCCAGCGCAGCATAACCCGCGTGGATTTCGGTAACCGTTTCGGTAGTTTACGAGTTTATCGCGTTCATACAGGTAGACAGACGTGGCCGGGGAGTTCATTTTATAGTATGTAAGGATGAGCATGGGGGATAGTCGCCGCCCCCGCCTGCATAACAAGGAAAAAGCGCTGGCTCGCCGAAAGAATAAGTTTTTTGTAGCGTAAAATCTTGAATTTATCATTTCTTCTGAAGTATTTATTTGATTCATATAGTGTCAAGGATAATTTTAATCTTTAATTTTAATGCCGAAGCTAACAGAAGAAAACAGCTTCGAAAATAACGTAATATTTTATTTTAACTTTGAACATAAAAGTATTATTGTGAGTCAACCATAGGAGAAAGAGATATGCTAATGCAGATTATTGTAGATATACAATTATCTAGTACATCATTTTAAGTGAAGCTCCTCTTCAACAATAGGTAATCGTTAAATTTCAGTCAATTTACATAACACCATAATGAATTTTGCACCTATACCTTCCTCAGGAATTACGCTATCTACAGGTGAAAACCGTACAAAAATCCCGTTCACACAGACGGACAAACGCGGCCGGGGAACTTCGTTTTATAATATGTAAGGATAACAAAGCTGGAGAGATTTTTGTATTATGTTTTTTAATAATTTTCTACTGGTTAGAGTTTGCATTGAAGCAGGTTATAACTAAAGTATAAAACCAAAGCATGTAAAACTGAAGTGAACAGCTACTTCCACATATTCAGCAGGTAAACCTATATTAATAAAAAGAAAATGCTTGATAAAAATTGGTTAATTTCTAATAATTAATTAATTGCAATTAGTATATTTAAAAGATATATGCTCACTATACATACAGCCTATACTTTCTTCACTCCGTACATAGCTAGAAGTACAATTAATTACTATACATAACTACTTAAGGTCAAAAGAAACATTTTGCAAGATACAAAATGATCATGAAAGCATAAAACAATAATGCTTACATTTAAGGTCAACATACACTATTGTGTAATACCTAAAACATTTAAAATTAATTAATAACAAAATAAATAGATAAGTTAGTTGAAAGTTACTTCATATAATGTTTATATATATATTGTACTTCTGTATATTATTTTATTGGAAGACATAGGGCATTGCAAGACGAGACAATACAACACTGTACTGTGTCTGTTTAGACACTAGATACAAGCTGAATTGATCGCACACTCTCATGCATAACATGCAATTGGACAAGTACCTACAGTCCCGTTGATTAATTTTTTAAATTTCTAATTTGCAAATTAACATAAGATGCAGTCATCCCAATCACATATATCTTATCTTGCAGTAAACACGAATAAATTGAGTGGTGATCGAAATTTCTCATTCCTCGAATATAGAACTAGATAATATGAATTCCTTATGTGTGCAAGGTAATAATCATATTTAAAGTTCAGAATAATGAAAAAATCAGAAATAAATTTTGCATCTATTAAAGAAGTTATAATGATCATGTAGACAATATAGATGCTTTAGTTTTATAATCAGTGAGCATACATAAAAATAAGATTTCAACAAATTGTGAACCTCCCCCTTTTTTGAAGTTGGTAAAAATGTAAAACTTATTTGGCCATACATGCTTGTCTGATATTGCAATATGAAATAATATGGAGATGACATCACTAGACTAAACAAGTCAGTATCCTTTATTGAGTCACTTCCCACACAGCTGGTTATTTTTATCAGTATAATTTTAAGTTATAATACAGGCTTCCATCTGATGTCATAATGGAAACATAATTTTTGTATGACATTATGAATGAAGTGCAAGAATACTTATTAAATATCTCATGTGCTGCAGGAACTATTAACATTTTGTAATTTAATATGATAAAAATTACTTACTAAATGCAATAATGACACATATTATCATTTCCTTCCATGAGGAGTAAACATCCGAGAGCATCTGTTCAATAGTATCCCAACTATTGAGTAGATCATAAAAGTCTGTGAAAACTTTTGTGGCTAACTCATGTGCCGACTTAGGAAAGCATCTGTTAAGAAGTGGAAATGATTCATAAACAGGCAATGTAGGACAAGGCCCAATAAAGTTATGTTGAATCTGATTTCTTCGAATATTATTTAAGTTTATATCATATCTACACAGATTAGATCCTGTATCTTTATAAAACTGTTGAATATCTGCTAATGTGTCCATTCTCTTATTTGGACATTCTTTAACACATATTTTAAGAGACCTCTGTAGCTCTTTAACATCCATGAAGAACAAGTATTTTTTATCCAGTGTGCTTATGCCAGCCAGTGGGAAATTCATCAATTTCTGATTGTTCTTTACTCCACATGTGTTTCCGAAAGAATCAAAGCCATTGATTACTCTCAGTGGATTCCCATAAACAAATGATATTGCAGCGACGATTATCTAAAAATATTAAAGTAATTTTTTACAAATATTGATCGCAACTAAGCATTACAGGGATACTATGTAATATCAAAATAAATCTGTATTAATTTATTTTGAAATTAAAAACTTACCATGAGTATCCAAAACAAAATGTAAATAATAAGCCATAACACATCTGTACATCCTTTTCTAGGAGTTTCATTTTGAGGAGATATTTCACTTTGAGTACAACCCATTGTGCCGTTTTTTTCTTAATATGTTATATTTTAACAACTAATTTTATTAACAAAACATAACGCATTTAAAAAATATATTTAGCCCAATCAACACCTTTTGGTTTACGTATAAATTATAATAGTAAATAGAATACAACACCAACAACACAGTTTACATCACAGATTACTATAATGCATAGAGTGACAGAGTAAACTTCTGTACAGTTTTAGTACTAGAAACAAGGGATGTTAGATTGTGGTGACTGTGGTGAGCCAAAAGCTGAAATTAAAAGAATAAAAGTTGGTACACTCACAATAACGTTATATTAATAATGTTACGAGTTGGGTATATAAATAATAAAAGTTATCGGTTAATTACTTTATTTCACTGTATTTACAAACACTCACTAGTCACTACTAGGAACCACTATATATCTTGTTAGTCGTACTAGAAATTCACTCCTATGTTAATTCGCTGTGTCTTAAAACTAAACTGTGTCGTATGGCCAACACGCTCCACTTTTATTGGGCTTTTGAATTTTACTAGAAAGTTCCTAGTCCGTTCCAGACAAACATATTATAATATACAAGAATTAATAAATAATTATAATATATAATATACAAGAATATTCTAGAATCAGTCTCGCGTTACTTGCAGCACCATCTAGCGCTGTAAGGATCAGAACTACTCGTATTAACCACAATCTTAATAGTAAATGTATTTGGTCGATATTACAATCGACCCATTTAATCCTATGGCGCACCACTGCCCCTCCTAAGACATGCTCGTCTCGAGCATTATCGGTTCCATAATATGGCGCCAATCGATCCACATGAACTATCTTTGGGGCGCCTCTTGGACACTTCTGTATCCGGTAGGTGACTTCATTGATTTTCGTCACCACTCGATATAATCTATCCCATTTGGCTTGTAGCTTCGGAGATCTACCTTTACTTCCGGTCATAACGGGTGTTCATCTTCACAGACATTTGTTGGCCCAATTGTCTGACATGCTCCTGATGTGCTTGCTGTAGGTTTTTCTTCCACGCAATGCTTAGGTCCATCCTTACCGTCCTTACAGGCATAACTTATCTTACCTCTTGCTTAGTACAGTGCTTGTAGTCTTCAGGACATGGTCTTATTGATAATGCGTCTATATTACCATGAAATTTGCTACGATGGTGGTGCTATTAGCCACCCTAATCTCCTGAAGCCACTCGTCTTCATCTCCTGTGCTGCGCTTAGGGCACCTGAACCGAAGATGACTCTTTTCGCCACAGGCGTAACATCTAGGGCCCTTTAAAACGATCAAACACAGGTGCCGCCACAATCTTCTGGACCTGATAAGACTGATGGTCTTGTCTCGCAGCTTCCACCTCCAAAGCATGGGCCACAGCAGCTAGGTCACGAATGCCATCGATGAAAGTTTGAACCAGATTTCCACCAATGAGCGCAGGTGCAGACTGGTATGCCTTACGGACCAGTTTCTCGACTTCCAGTTCCCATTGCTGTAAGTTTTCACTGATGCGTTGGGCACGATCCTTCAGCTACGCACGAAACACGTGCTCCAGGTGAGCGTCACCATATCTTCCAGCTTCCAGCAGTTGCTCATAGGTTACCTTCTTACCGAGGGCTTCAAGGACGGTTAAGGCCTGATCTCGGAGACACAAGATGAGTGTGGTCATAGCCTGAGCCTTAGTCCAGGCGTTCGCCGTCATAACAACCTCAAACTGGATCTTGTAAGATGACCACGAAAATGTTCCATCAAACGGCGGCACTTGGAACCATTGCACCAAAGGAGCAGCGGTTACCGTAGTCGCCATCCCGTCTCCAACTTTGAGTTTCCCTAAGGCCTTCTTCACGTCTGCAATCTGGGTTTCGGCTTCACTGAGACGGTTCTCGTGTTGAAAAATCTGATCCTTCACTATCTTGAGTTCTTTGCCGAAGGTGTCATGAATGCCTTTTAACAAAAGCATCTGCTCCTCCTGACGGCGGGCCTGGTCCTCCTTATCGCGCTGCAGCTGCTCATCCAAGTGACGGGCCTGCTCCTGTAAATGGGGGGCCTGCTCCTCCTGACGGCGATCCTGCTCCTCCTGACGGCGGGCTTACTCGTCCTTGTCCCGCTGCAGCCGTTCTTCCAAGCGGCGGGACTGCTCCTCCTGACGGCGGGCCTGCTTTTGGAGCATCATCATTGCGCTGATGATGTTGACGGAGTGGCTTCCATTGCTGGCTGCTGACCCTCCAATGTAGGCACTTGTCCACCTCCAAATCGCCTCTGGTCAGCCTGACCTATCTCGTATCTTCTTCGGGTAAAACCGGCATACTTTTATCCCACTTCTGACACCAAATTGTTACGAGCTGAGTGTATAAACAATAAACGTTGTCGGTTTATTACTTTATTTCACTGTATCTACAAACACTCACTAGATATATAGGAACCACTATATATTTTGTTAGTTGCACTATAAATTCACTCCAATATTAACTTAACTGTGTAACTGTGTAACTAACTTAACTTACGCTGTGTCGTAAAACTAAACTCTGTCGAATCCCTCTGGTCTTCACAACATCCCGTAGGGGACGTGCGGTGGCTGGTTCGGGGCTTCGGCCCCCTGCCAGCGGTGTCTACCACTACCCCTAAATAGGGGTAGGTCATGGGCTTGTTATCTTGAGTCGGTTGAGTTATGGCTGGGTTACTTCTGTCTTCACGCCGCCGCGGCGGTCAAGCCCGAGCCAGGTGAGACCCCAGGCGGTACCTGGGGAGGCCCAGCTCCGAGCTGGACTGGACTTAGTAGGGCGCGGGTTGCCCTTACTCGCGCGACCGTGCCACGGACGTGTGACGCCATAGTAAGATGGCGGTCTATAGTAATACCTAGATAGGTCACTGTGCTCCACGGAATGGGTTCGTCCTATAGTTAGAGTGGTGGTGGGAGTTTCCGGGTTGAGGTGAAGGCTATCGCCTGTGTCTTCCCAACGTTCACGAGCGAGATTATTGCCACTGTTTGCGGAGGCGCCGCTTTTCGGCTATCAGCGACCTCGTCTTCTGGCCGACTCAAGGGCGCCCCTGATGCTGTCCCTTAGCTCGGCTGCCAATATAAATTAAGTAGTAGTAAAGTGGTAGTAGTAAGTTAGTTAACATCCCTGTTTGACATAATACCAGTATTGTCTTAGAAGATCTGAGAACTTTTTTCTCGTACAAAACAACAAAAATCTAGATTTTGGCGTTCAAAGCTCGTTATATGTTATTAATGAGTTCTTAATTGTAACAGGTCTGCTAAATTCACGTCTCTCCTATTAAACTATTGATTCAAGTTAAATGAGAATTAACTGTTCCCGGCACATGAAACTAGCGCCTACTGAAATAGTGTCTGTGTCTCTAGACCATGATTCTGAGTCGAAAATCATTGGAGTTTGCTGCGTTTGCGTGAATTATTAATCATTTATTTTCATTTCTATTAATATTACAAATTTTATGCCCTTGTTCGCTTTGTGATGAATTCGTTTCACAGCAGAAATTATAAAGTCGTGTTGAAATTGTCTCCACGTAGTTTTCCTTAATATGTTAATACATACAGATAAAAAAAAACAGTTGCAAACAATTATCGCCCTTCAAAATACTTCTTTAAAAAGGTGTCTTGTGGTGTCTATAAATGAAGCTCATCAGCAATATTAAAAGAGAGGGTCATTAAGAGCGAAAATTGCTTGCAACTGTTTATTGATATAACCTATGTGTTGATTACTATAAAATTAGGTGCAAGATGTATTTTTGACCTATTTTACCAGTTTTTACCATTTTTGGCACTCGAATATTCCTGAGACTAGACCTTGTGTTATTTTGATTTGCTTTGCTTGTATTCAATTGTAAAAACAATTGAATACAAGCAAAGCAAATCAATCTTCATTTATCTAAATTACTTATACAGATTTACTGGTAAAATATAATAATATACGGGCTTTTACAATAACATAAATCTTTAAAACTGCAATTGATTTGTATATACACACAAATGATATCGAAATCGATCGAAATCGATTTCTTTGACCCCTCCCTATTCTTTAAACTGTCAGAACTGTCAAACGTTACGTCTTAGATTAGATGCACTGGACTATAATTTTCTATTTTCATTTCAGGTGAATTAAAGTATCACCTTACATTTTTAATTAGTCAAGATGACTACGAAAGTACTGTTAACTTTAAAATCTTCTATTTTAAATGTTTGTCCTAAAAGATATTTGAACAATACTCTCTCTAGTGTCACTAAGATACACAGAGATATTTACCCTAGAATGTACCCCACGACGGTGGTTCTATCCGATGGAGCTTCAATAAACATAAGATATCACGAGCCACGAAAAATTATTAAGGTTCGTGTCATATTTATCCTATATAATTTTTTTGTGAATGTCTTGTCTTGTGTCATGTGTTTGTGATTGTGTCTTCCTTACATTTAATAATTTAAGATATAAGGTTTTATATCTTAAATTATTATATGTAATGAAGACCTACTTGGTTTGTTTACTATTGACCTACTTGGTTGGATTAAAATAATTAAAGTATACAGTACTTTAATTATTTTAATCCACAGTTATAATTATTAACTCTTATTGGATATTAAATGAATACATACTTAGAAATGTTTGATGCAAAATGTGAGATGTTTTTTTAAAAGACACAATTACCAATTCTGACCATTCATTAAAATTAATAGAAAAAGTAGCTCTTTGAGTTCAAAGTTTCTTTTACTAAAATGCCAACATACATAATAGTTTTAGAATGTTGCTTGTCCACCTAAAGGAAGATAGAAGAACTATTAGATGCACTTTCAGTGTTGCCATTGACACTACTTTTTTATTTTCCAGTTGCCTTTAGATCTCTCACAGTTGACTGAAGAAGAAAAGAAAATGAGGCTAGAAAAAAGAAAACCTAAAAAGAAAGTTAAAATAACTGATGATGTCGAAGATGACTTCAATGCCAAGAAATATTTAAAATATATGAAGAAGAAAAAATAAACTGGGGGTACAAATTCAAAATATGTAATGAGTAGAAAATGTAATACTGCAATCAAAAATAATTATTAAGTTTATTAGGAATTTCATAATTTTATTTTAATTACTAAAATCCATGATCTAAATCTTTTAAAACTTTTTTCTCTCACACCTAATGGTACGTTTACATGTTAGGCAAGTCTCTACAAGTGTCCACAAACACAAGCGTTTCAACAGGGTGTTTGACTTGGCTTGCATGAGCATGTCGTCGATACGGGCCATTGTCGGTTTTTGAACGCAGATCAAAAGAAGCTTGCGGCAAGCGCTTGCGACGTATTTACATGATACGCGCGCTTTTTCCCCACTGCTTAACTTGATAAGTCAGCAGTCTGGAATCAACATTAAGTCCCAATGGCCCAAAAACTGGTTGTGTAGAAGGGCTAGAGGGCCAGATTTTTTTATAGCGTGTTTTTATTGTCGCTGTGTATATTTGAATAAAAATATGACAAGCCAAACGCAATAGCCGACACAACTTCATGTCCACGCCTGCCGTTTCACTGTCCGGAACACACAGTGATAATGATAAACATATTTTTATCTATGTTTGACTCATAAAGGACCTTTTGAGTTGAAATGCGAAAACCAGATCCCACAACCATTATCTATGTTGGTACTCTGTTTTCTTTGATTTATAAAAGACAAATTAAGTTTTGGCTTCAAATGGATATGATGTTATGAACTAAAACTACAAATCAACCTAGTATCATAAGTATAATGAATACTAATAGTGTTTCAGCTCGGGTACTTAGAGGATCAACGATGAGGCGGTAGGTCAGTGGGAGTATCTGTGGTAGTACCGGCTGGCTTCGCTTGCTAAACGGTACGTCCGTTCAGGAGTGTAATAATAATAATAATAAATCTCTTTATTGTACACCAGGTATAAATATATAAAGATTAACTTAAGCTAGGTTAGACAGGTACAAATGGCGGCCTTATCGCTCAGAGGCAATCTCTTACAGGCAACCTTGGTATGGAGAGAAAAACATAAAGGCAAGGAGATGTAGGGTAGTGGCTGGTGTACTAAGAAAATACGATGCGTGGTGATAAGAGAAAGGGCGTATAATAAAACTCGATGTATTTGGTATTTTAATATACATTTAAAAATACTTCGCACCCTTAATCCAAAACTGTCTCTATACAAAATTTTGCGGGGATTCGCATATATTCGCGCTAACACTGGTTTAAAAGTTTTATAAATAATCGTTAGATGACAGTGGTTCATTTCATCACTAAACAAAATATTTCCGTTCTTTCCACTAGAATTACCTGACTCAATCCCCCAGGGGACTGTATAAGACTCACCATTCCACATCGATCCCTGGTGTGCGTTGCCCCAGCGGAAAAAGATTAAATTTCTTTATTTGAGTTATTCAGAACGGATATTTAGTGTATGACGTTGTGAATTATTATGTGTGTAGTGTTTTAAAAAGATAATAATAATTAAGAGAAATCGATAAGAACAGTGGGACAGATACACATACATACTGAAATACACATACATATTTACTTGCTGAGTTACATACATATATACACAAATAATTTATGAAACTACGGATATGATGCATCTGCTAGCGTGTCTAAAATGCGAGCTCAGACTTTCGTCGACGTCGAAATTATGGGCAGCTGTGTGCTATCCTGATTGTGATGGTATGATAATATAACATGTGGTATATTATATAATTATGGTCTACCTATCAATGCAACGAATTGCCCATTATAAATTTTGCCACTTGATTATTTTTATGTTATTTTGTCATATAAATATATATTATTTTAAGAATCGTACTTTATTAACCAAATACTCTGGGAACAGTTGTTGCAGAAAAAGCAAGCAACCTAATTAATGTCTTAATCTCGAAATTTTATTTAAGAATTGTGTAACCACCTGTACCAATTCACTACCTTTAGATAAAAAAATTAAAAACCGTAAAATTCACAATGTTACCTAAATAAACTGCATGGCCGCTTTTTATAGCCATGCGAACTCGGTCGGGTTATGTACGAATTGCGGTGGTAGTCAGTATTTTATTTGAATTTCATTAATTATTGTGTAAAAAATGAAACTTTACATGTGAATAGTTGAATTAATTAACTAATTATTGGATTAGGCTTTATTACGCATTTCTTTTAAAATCTCGTGCAATAAGACTGCAAATGAAACAGTGGTCCAGTCATGGTTAATTATCCCATAGCTCATTAAATACTAAGAGTACCTCAACGATACTTAGCAAGACGTTGTAGATGCTTACACGGTATGTATAAACGTTATAAACTAGATCCTAGTGCATAAGCATTGAGTACTAGGACCTAATAATCTTATTTTACGTTTATATTTATATCTTCTGAATGTCATGTTTTTTTTTAAATACGTTTTTACAAACAGTATAAACAAATTCAAAACAACGTGTGAAAAAATCTACAGCCCTCTAGAAAAGCGTTTTATATGAAATCTAGCAAATGGCCAAACGTTGTCGCAGCGGCAACTTGAATATCTTCGCAGTTTATTGACACACAAGTTGCATTTATTATTATTTTTTCTTCTACGTCCATAGGATAAAAAAGTGGTGGAAAAAAAAAACGATTTTCGTGAATAACTCCCCAATGTTTGGATGCACAAATTTTTACTTACTTTACACAATTACACGACGTCATACATTAAATATCTGTTAAACTCAAATAATGAAATTCGAACTTTTCCGCTGGGGCAACGCACACGATCGCCTGCTTTTATTTATTTTAGCTCTGTAACGCCACCAACGCAGTCAGGCATTTGCATTTAAAAGTGCCAAAATTAAGGGTTTTTTACGTGCTAATTAGGTGCCAAGATTAAAAATTAGGTGCTCAAGAAATTCCACTGCACCAGACTTTTGAAATTTCAGTTGCTAGCAAACTCTCGTAAGAGAGTAGATATAGGTATTCTTTGCTAGCAAAATATCAAGCTAGCAGCGCAGTGACAATAGTGAGTTTACAATTAATAAAATTAGTAAGAAATGAAGTGCTGCAAGTACAAAGAATTCGATACTAGATATAAAAACAATAAAAGTGTTAATTGGGAATTGAGAACTTCTTCATCGCGATCGATCTGATCGTGGACTATCAGCACGGTACAATTATAATATGTACCGTGCTATCAGCGCTTCTCCTGTCAGATGGTGAACCACCGTCCGAAAACGCTTGATGCACATTAAGAAATACCCGATAATCCGGGTATCTTTAAGCATTTGGGTACCTTTCTCGATACAATTTGCTAGCTTTGTTAGCATTACATAGGTATTATCTGTAAATGAGGTGTATATTAGCGTATTCCAACAATGTGTATAGTAGCGCCATAATTAACACTAAACACTCCAAAATACGCCAAAAGTTCATTCACAAAACACAATCAGAGCCAAAATTCATGTCAGGTCAGTACAGTTTGTAAATCACCAAACAAAATAATCCAAGGTCGTCCCTATGTGTGGGTAAACCTTGTACATATACAGTGACTTTGTGTGCGTGACAAGAGGTACAGTCGTACAAATACAAATATAGTTATTTACGGGTTATATACGGGTTTTAAAAAAAAAGAGTTATTTCGTAATGTAATGTTTATTTATTGAACATTATTCTGAATCGCTACTTGAAAAATCAAATGATGAATTTTCGGTTTCGCTGCTCTCACCAAGGTTAATTATGAATTCTGACTCCATGTCAAAATGTCTATAGTATTCTTCTTCTTTCTTTTGTACATGTCGACAAGTATTACCCCACATCCCTTCATCAATTTGACTTAAACGTTCATTTATGAGTTTTATTATTTCCGTCACATTTTGGTCGACATTATGCGAAGCAATATAATTCTTTAAAATTCCCCACATATTTTCTATGGTGTTTAGTTCAGGATGATATGGTGGCCGTCGAAGAATTTTTATGCCATATGGCTGAAGTATGTCGTCAGTCTTGTAACAGATATATTTTTCTTTATTTTTTTAAATTAAATCATCCACTTCAATTTTTTTCATATCTTGATTAAAAGCTATATTTTGTTCTGTCAGCCTTCTCTGCATTTCTATTTTTTTGGAATTAGAATTTGGGGCTCTGTCATTTTGAACGTTATGGTATGAGGCATTATCAAGCACAACCACAGAGTTAGGTGGAAGATTCGGTACTAGACGTTCTTTTAGCCACTTTTCATAGTTTTCTGCGTTCATGTTAGAGTGGTAATCACCAGAAACACTATTTGCTTTGTATGTCAATAGTGCGTTAGGTACGAAACCTTGTTCTGAACCAGCATGCACAATGATAATTCTTTGTCCTTTCGACAGGTTTCTCTTTAAAGGTGGTCCATCTTTATTACCCCATCCTTTGTTTTGCACATGATTAGTTAAGATGTAGCTCTCATCTGTATATACGATACACCGATTTTCTTAACGGTATCTGAGTAAATTTTTTAGGTAGGAAAATCGTAGTTTTTGGATGTCATGCCGCTCTATAATAACACGTCTGTTATCCACAGTTTTTCGCCATTTGTATCCCAACTTTAACAAAGCTGTACGCAGAGTCGAAATACTTCCATCATAGTTAAGTTTATCTTGAAATATTCTTTTCAACTTTAGCAAGGTAGGTAACTCCCGATGTTCTAAATGGTAATTTTGAATAGTGGAACGTATAACATCAACGTTAAAGTTGTCTAATTCTAACTTTTTAAACGTTTTTACGGTCTTTATGCGGAGATTTAAATTTAGAGTCAGATTCTTTTCCTTCAGCCAATATATTAGTAATTGTTCTCTCTGATACCCCCACTGCCATTGCTGTTCTTTTCCGTACGCTATTTAAATGTTCACTTAATTTCGATATTAAAATTGGACTTGCACTGCAAACTGGATCACTTACTAGTTCCAATATATCTCTCGCATCTATTTTCAGAAATTCGTATACCTTAGCAATGGTTTCTCGAGTCTAAAACAATAATACGTAAACGTCAACAAGGATATATTTTTTCGTATATAGAATCATAATAAATATTAATTACATCTCAATTTAAAAAATATTTACCTGACTCCTTAAACATTTTCTCCGTGAAGAACTAGACATTTTCGTAAACGACTGTACCCTTAAGAAAAAGCGATAAGAACACGTCTTGCTCGGACGACGACTGCCGCGTCACTGCCACACGAATGTAAGCATTACAAGCCCACGCACACGTAGGGCCGCGCGCACAACTGAGTTGAACTATCTATACGAGTAAGTACAAGAGCTATTTTAATTAAAAATAATAATATAAAAATAAGATAAAGTTAATTTTCTCTTCCGTAAAGATTACTTAATACTAGCTTATTACAGTAATTGCTCAAGACCATTGTGGGCGACTGGCATCTGCACTAGGGAACCCTGTCACACAGATTGCCAGGCCTCCCATAGTACAAAGTTGGTATCATGCTTATGTCTAGTTATTGGCAAAAGAAAAATGAAATAAAAAAGACAAAAATAAAAAATACACATAAAACATCTTGTCAATTAAAACCATTTATAGTCATTAGTTTTATTTTCATGAGTATGCGCTTTCGTGTGTGCGTCAGTGTGTGTGTGTGTATTAGCGTGTGCTTAGCGTTAGCTTAGGTTTTATTTTGCGATAGTTAGTAATTTTTCAGTAGAGTCGTAGTTGTATTCTAAAAGATGTGAAGTAACATACTTGCCTTACATTTAACCCTGGTTAAGGGATATAAATTAAGGACAGAATTGAGTTTGTTATATAAATAATTACCTAGGAAACTGTAGCTGCGTTGGGAGAGGCTACTTTTACATAATATTTTAGGGCAAACTTTTGTTTTAATTAGTTTGTGAGACTGTAAAGTAGGTTGATAGATTATCTCTGAGTGTTTGCGCAGTATAGTGTTGAGGACGGGGAATTGACGGACCGTTAGTACCTTGCATTTTAAATAGAGTTCTTTTGTTGGATGAAAAAAAAAGGAAGGCCATGTGCAACTTTGATGACTGCTCTTTGTGCACCTTCTAATTTTATCATACGGGTTTTTGAGGCTCCTCCCCATACAGTAACACAATATGTCAGCAAGGATTGACATAGTGCAAGGTACGTAGTCCGAAGCACCTTCTCGACGGCAACGCCTCGTAGGTTCTTAAAGATATATATGACTTTCCGGTCGATGTGTATATTATAATTTAATTTTTTATCAATAACTATACCAAGATTCTTAATCGAGTCAACATTTTGCAATTTAGGGCATTCACATATTTTTGAGAGGTTATTGTTACATGTATGGGCTGAGATGTGGAGATCTGGGTTAATGTTAATGGAACTGTTTGATAGAGCAAATGCAATCTATTTGGTTTTGACTGTATTAAGTTTAAGTAGGTTGTCTCTGAGCCAAGTAGTCACCCGTGAAAACGTGAAAAACCGACCTGGGCGAATTGGAAGACTTCCTCCCAAGTGTCACCATAAAACAGGAGAGCTGTATCGTCCGCAAAAGTAATAATGTTTCCATTAATGAGTTTAAGTTCGCAAAGGTCGTTTAAAAAAATAAAAAAAGGGTAGGGCCTAAAATGCTCCATTGAGGAATTGAGGAGTTTGTAATTTCATGTTCATCACTTATCCATTATCCACTTTAACACGTTGCGATCTACCAGTTAAATAGCTTTTAAAAAGATCGAGCTGAGTTCCACGGACTTCAGGATGTTCCAGTTTCCTTAGAAGCAGAGGCGTAGAGACGGTATCAAAAGCCTTTGCGATATCGAGGAATATAGTTAGTAGGTACTTTCTTCTTGTTGTCAAGTTTCGCGACTATAGTATCAGTGAGCCGATGAACTACATCCGATTTTCCGAAAGTATTTTTTATGTTTCTAAGTATTTGGTTAATAGTTTATTAATATTTTTTTCCAAGACTTGATAGAGTAGGCAAAATTGATATTGGTCGATAATTGGTGACACTGTCTCTACTGCCACTTTTGTGGATTGGATGCACAAGTGATTTTTTGAGAGTCGAAGGAAATACTCCCGTAGACAGACAGACATTGCAAATATAAGTAATAGGCTCTGCTAGTTATTTAAATATCTTTTCAGTATGCCACTAGCAATATCATCTATTCCCAATGAGCAATTAGCTTTAAGTGAAGACACGATATTTGCAACCTCTCGAGTATCGGTCGGAAGTAATACAAACGAAGAATGGTTTGAGTGTCGGAAGTAGGGCTGAGAAGTAATTGGGCAAGTTCGTGTGTTTGTATTGTCGAGTGGCAATCCTACCTGTATAAAATGCTCATTAAGACAATTAATTGAAGCCAAAGGATTTGTTGGATCAATCAGGTCTGTAGATGGAGTGATTTGTTTTTTAGTATGTGATTGATCTAATTTGCTTCCATAACATTTTTGTATTGTCTCCACATTTAGCGAGTTCACTTTTATCATGTTGCTGCTTGATATTTTTAAGGATGTTGTTACGAAAGTTTCTGTATCTAGTGTATATTAGTTTATTGTTATAACTAGGATCTCTTCTATACTTCAAATGCAGTTTGTCGCGGTTTCGCATACAACGTAACAATCCTGGCGTAATCCAAGGTTTAATGATACGCTTTCGCCTTGAAACAGTGTTTATTATAGTACAACTTTTTAATTCATGAGACAAGGTGTTGAAAAGATATGATACTGCGTCATTGGCACACTGCATTGAGTTTCAAAGTTTTGGCTTTGGAGTTTCTCGTCGAGGGATGAATAGTTTTAGTTTTGTTTAGTTTAATTTAGGTTTAGTTAAGTAATAGTCAATTGAATACGGAACGGTGCACAGTAAATAAAGGAAACAAAACTTACTAAATTGATGAAAACAGAAACTTCTCTACCTCAGTGCCTGCTCTATTGCTCTTCATTTGACAGGCCTGTTGGTATAGTGGTTAGTGACCCTGACTAAGCCGGAGGTCGTGGGTTAACACCCAGGACAAATATTGCGTGATGAGCACGACCATTTGTTCTGTGTTAGGATGTAATTTATCTATAATATGTAAGTATTTAGAAATATTTAAGTATTTTTATCAGCAGATTGATAACCTAAATTCAGGCTCTGCCTAGTTTGGGACCGGTCTGCCGTGTGTGAGATGTGTGAAGTTTTTATTATTATAATATATTATTATTTAAAAACGAACATCTATCTATCTGTCTTTCTCTAACGGAGTAGCTCTCTCTATCTATCTCTCTTTAATTACTACGCACATGTCCTGTTCGAATTTCAAGAATTCGTAAGTATTTTGAGAGCATAGTAAAAGTGATTAGGTACTCTAAAAAAAAAACCGGTCAGGTACGAGTCGAACTCGTGCGCCGAGGGTTCCGTACGAACCCAGATTTTACATAGATTTTCGCGAAAATTTGTAAGTACCAAAATTTATCTTAATTTTCAACTTTTTTTATCGAAATTTGCCCATATCTTTTTAGTGTGTTGACTCAGGACCTTGATTTTCATACACCTAATAGGGACTATATACCTCAGTATCTGGTATAAATTTCAACTTGCTAGGTCTACCCGTTCCTGAGAAAATCGGTGGTGACACACGGACAGAGGGACAAGAAAGTGATCTTATAAGGGTTCCTTCTTTACCTTTTGAGGTACGGAACCCTAACAACAATGTATGAAATTTGGTTATTGTTTAAAAATTATCTGCATACTTTTTATGGCTATTTTTGATAGAGTATTATACCATTTTAGAATCTTAATTAGTTGCGTCAATTTTTTTAAAACCTGCTTTTGTAGTGTCCATACATTTTTTACACCAAGATCACTGAAAGTGGAATGAAAGTGAAAATGATTGATGAGTAAAACGACAGGCATTCTGGGATTTTTAAGAATTGTGATGGATAGCAGTAGGCACTATTCAGGTTTCCGGTACAAAAAAAAAATAGAATTATTTGAAGTACTGTGTTTATGATAGTTAAAAATATCATAAGGGATGTCAATTTTCTAAAGTTAACATTTTTTTTTATTGTAATAAGGAAATAATTGTGTAGTAGTCATAAGGAGGTCCACCATTTGGTAACGGTTTATCGTTGAATTTAAGGACACCTGTATATTCTTAGCCTAGAGTATACCAACACTACGCTTAATTTTTAACAAAAAATGTTAATAACAATGTGGTAACACTAAATTCGTAACATCAATAGCATTTGTCACTTGTCACATTTGTCATTCGAGGTCTGCTCTTTGGTTTTGTGTAGTGGTGGAACGACTCGACTTTACAAATCGATTTAAACTAATAATTTAATACATAAACCGATTTACTAACCGTACAGATACAGCAGACATATTTTTCTTATGGGATAGGTAATCATGTTACTTGACTGGGTAGTTTGTTGTATTGTCCTTAGCTCTCAACAAACTACCAATCAATTCATACCGGTTAGTATAATGAACGTAATGTCAAGTTATTTGTTTGTAAGTAATCTTGGTTGCGGACCGTTGACAAACGGTAAAACGACGGTTTAATCGATCCAGTCAATTCATGTTGCATATTACTTCCGTGTGTTACATTCGCTTAACTCGTCACACGGTTCGGTTTGGGAACCGATTCAACTCGGTTTGACAAAAATTGCAGACCGTAACATCTCTAGTTTTGTGTTCGGCCTCATGTCTAGATTATCTAGTGAATAATATTAATTGAAACCTTTAATAAATATTTATTTGTGAACTTGGATTCTGATTAGTTCTTATTGTTTAATGAACGATTCTTTCTTATCACAATTCTAAAATAACACGAAATGTACCTAGATCTCTAACCTTCAAATCTTACGTAAGAAGTATAAAAATGGGAAATTCTGTATCAGCCGAAGCTGGTGTTAAAGTGCCGAATGTTATTAATAACTCAGATCCTCCACCAGAATGCCCCATGCATAAAAAATCAGAAGGAAAACCAGAGGAACCAAAAAAAGTCTCCGAGTGTCCTATTCAACACGGCAATGACATTAACCCATATAACATGGTGAGTCAAGAAAATATTAAGTTAACATAATTAGTTCATTATAATAAAACTCGAACATCTAGCAGTCTAAAATAGCTACCAGATGTAGCAAAATATAGACGCTAATGATATCTATAACGTTAGTATTGCTAAGGGTTCGTTAATTGTTTTGTAGTTTAATGGATTGCTGACTACCTATAGAAATATTTAATATTAAGTGCAACATATATAAGCATATACATACATATAATAGCTTCCAGAAGGTGTGATTTAAAAGCTCCTAGCATTTCCTAATTCAAATCAAGCTATAGGACTATCTAAAAATATGAAAGCTCAGTTTTCTATATCCTCTTAGAAGGACATGAAACAAATCTATAAGTTGAACCACCTGCAATGTGCAGTTTTTGCTACTTTGCCTCCCCATAGAAGCAAAACTTGATATTTTATATAAATTAAGTAAAAGTGTGCAAAAAGCCAACCACACTTTATATAACTTAAAGTTATATATAATCTAGTTACCTATCTTTATCTTAATTGAAGAAACTTGCATGAACAAGTGTTCACTTGTATTTGTATATATCACTGGAAAATAACAAGAACCGCAAATATATAAATTTCCTAGGAAATTTCGTAGGATCCTAATCCTCCGTAGGATTCTAAACGAGATATAAATTGTATTATTTCATGCCCACTTTTTTGCAAAGTGATAAACTTACCAAACTCTAGTCCGGTGCTTTCTTCAGTCCCAGAGCTGCCTCATTGATGAGCTGGTCGGCTCACTCATTATCCCCAACCTGGTTAGGTTAGGTTTTTTTCTCTTGTTTAGAATCCTACGAAGCTTTATACATTTCCTAGGAAATTTATACATTTGCGGTTTATGTTATTTTCCGGTGACATATACAGCACATTATGTTCATATGAGTGATATGTTATGTATTTCATAAGCTTAAACCTATACATACTTCCATACTTATATTATGAATGTGAAACGAAAAGTGTGTTTGTTGCTCTTTCATGCCTAAACCACAAAATAGTTGTACAATTGGTGGCCTTATCGCGATTTGTGATCTCTTCCAGGCAACCGCTGGATGGAGAAGTAAATTGAGGATGGCATGGGGAGTTGCAATTTTACAGTACAATAATAATTTACAAAAATTTCATGTAAAATAATTTTTTGTGTTCTATTCCTCAAAAAGAATAGGGAATTATATGATTACTCCCTTGTCCCTCTGCCTGTCTAGACCCTTTTATTCAGGAGCTGGAGTGCATCATCATCAGCCTATCGCAGTCCACTGCTGGACATAGGCCTCTACTATTGCATGCCCCTTAGATTGATTTGGAGTGTGTGTTAGTACACAATAATAATTTACCACCATCCGTTTCAGATGCCACCGGCTAACCAGCAGCCTGCCCCAGATCAACCATTTGAACTACCCACACAGCGTCAAGTGTCTACCATACCTCGTGCAATGCCTGATGGTTCTACAGAGTTCTGGGTTTACCCTAGCCAGCAAATGTTTTGGAATGCTATGCTCCGTAAAGGTTGGCGCTGGAAGGATGAAGACATCAAGCAAAAGGACATGGAGGATATAATAAAAATACATAATGCCAATAATGAACAGGTAAAAAACCTAATACTTTTTTTTCAGTTGAAAGAAAGAACACAATTGAATATAAGGTGTGAATTATACAGAAATGGCTGACTTTTCACTATGGCATTTATTGTAATTCATATTACCGAGATATGATTTAAATTACATCAAAAGCTAGAAATATTCTAATACACAAAGCAATATTTCAATAAACATATATTTTACCTTTCATCCCCGCACACCATTCTTTGCATCTGCAATGTGCCTGCTATTTGCTTCGCTATTAACTTTGCCTGTCATTGATCATCAGATTGTTTACATTTTTTACTAAAAAGTAATAGACATAAATTGTATTCAGAATCATCTACATCTGATAAACTATCGTGGCTATTTCCAAATTGTGTAAGTGCACAAAAATATAGTCAAAACAAATCAAATTGAGTTCATCTCAACTTATATGCAAGACTAGTTCAATCTGTTCAAGTTTTTAATATGTTACTTAGAGAATGAAATTGAATTGAATGATAAATATAGAGTACTAATAAATAATAATAAACAATTTTATGCCACCATATACTATTGCTCAAAACTTAATTCTTTTTTTTGGTAGGCTTGGCAAGAGGTTATGAAATGGGAAGCATTACACGCTAAAGAATGTGGACATCCAAGACTAAAAAGTTTCGGAGGCAAAGCTACAGAATACAGCCCCAGGGCGCGTATTCGTTCTTGGCTTGGGTATGTAATAAAAATGCTTTTGCTTTAATATATAAAAAATAAAGTCTCCAATACAAACAGCAGTTAGCAATGTAAGATATAAAATTGGTCCTCAGCTTATATTTAACACACTAAAATCTTAAGAAAAACCTTTCGTTTTATGTGCTTTTTTTTAACCAACTTCAGAAAGGTTCTCAAATGAGCTGCATATTTTTGGGATCATCGCTCTTTGAGAACTGATTTTAAATATTCTTTTTGATGGTTCCATTCCCTAGAAGGAACTCATCTAGTTTCGTCATGAAATCCTTAGATAAGACTTATTATATCACATTGTTACTTCTTTAAAACAACTAGTACTAGAATACTATAGAACTGCAACTTCACCAGCATTAGCCAAGCTCTGTCTAGACATGGTGTTGATTCCCCAACTCATGGTAAATCGACAGCATACTAAGATATAGAGCTATTCAATTATTCGCCTCCAAGACGGTGAACTCTCTCCCCTCCTTTGGAATATTGTTGTTGATGAACTCATCACACAACTCAACATCTGTAGATTCCTCACAACACGCTATGCAGACGATCTGACTATCCTCATCAGTGGTCCCTTTGAGAGCGTTATATGCGATCAAATGAGACTCACACTGAAGAACAGTGATGTGTAACACAGAACTTGACGGTGAACCCATCAAAAACAGAGATGATCATGTTCAAACGCAGCTGGCTCTTACCAAAGAGGTCAAATACCTAGGAGTAATACTAGACATTGTCTTTTGCCCATCCAAACGGCTACTCAGCAAAAGCTGGGTACTATCACCACAGATTATACATGGCAGAACAGTCATAAGACCAATAATCACTTACGGTGCTATTGTCTGGTGGCAGAGAACAGTAGGCCAATAATGAAAGTTCGGTCACAATTCAGTTCACACAACTATAATAAAATGTATTAAATCTATTAAGTCATTAATCATAGTAAAATAGTAAAGTATTAACACATTACAGTCAACGTTGGATGTTTAATACTTTACTACGAAAATACATTTTATGATAGATGTGAGATCGAAAGTTGATCGGAACTGAGTTGAGACCGAACTTTTATTACGAGAATTGGCCTTTTGAGCTAAGAGTACCGTCACAAATAAATTCATCCATACTCAGTATCATGAGCGCCCTAGGCAAGCATCTCATCGGCGCCCCTGCACATCACTAACGCCCATTCCATATTATAAATATTTAGTGTATTTTATTAGTTGACTTTAGTTGCTGCTACTAAATGTAAATATGTAGTAGTCATTACTCTAAATTCTAGTTAGCGTTTCATTTCAACATCTTTTATTCAAGAGACTCCCTGGGGCCTTGGGGTTTTCGGTGGGGCGGTGTATCGGATTCAAGTGCTTTCAAGAGCGGTTTCGCACGACGTCCGATCCGAACGCGTGAAAATACGGCTCTAGAAATCTCAGGCTGAATTCGGATATTACATTACATTATATTCTCACAAAAATTCTAGAAAAATTTGTTGTCAATGAAAAAAATTTTAAAATTAAAATTTGAACATACCTTCGTCGGAATAGAACACAAAATAAGTCTTATTAAATATGTAGCGGCAAAATATTTAACGATTCAGTTTCACCACACTCAAAGTTAGAGGAAATTTCAAGAAACTTTCAACGTAAAAGACATTATTATAAAAAATAATTGACTCGGCATTTGGGACATTAAAACAGGAGGTAAAATTTCGAACAAATAAAATATTTTTTAGGGTAACTTGGCAACTCCAAAATTCATTCACACACAGAACTGACGCCATTTCGGTGCCTCAGTTTTGTCTTAGCGGGAGTTCCGTCCGATTTTTTACGTCCGTGAATATCAATTAAATATTTTTAACATCAAAACAATGATTGTAATGCAAACAAACCACATACTATAATCAATACTATATTATATTTCTTCCTGTAATGTGCGATAAAAAGTTATTCAATGTACATTACTTTCATATCAATTATACCGATTGCACATCAACCTGTGTGTACAAAAATCTACAGTTAAATCCAGTTAAACCTGAGCTAAATTGTGGTTTTTAGATTTTAAATAACTAGTTAATGTTTTGTGTAAAGATTATTACTTTTCGATTTTCAGGTACGAATTGCCATTTGATAGACACGACTGGATCGTTGACAGATGTGGAAAAGACGTTCGATACGTAATTGATTATTATGATGGTGGAGAAATTGATAACAAGTATCAATTTGCTCTTCTTGATGTCAGGCCTGCGCTTGACTCCTTCGAGAATATGTGGGACAGGATGAAAGTCATGTACATGAGATATCGCTATGAACTAATTGGCTCTAAAAAAACTACGAAGCTGACTAATTAAGTTGTAGAAGTAAATTGCTTGTTGACTGCAATGCAAATTGTTAAGTATAATATTTATTTTTGTGGGGTTCTTCCGTCGACAAGCGTTTGTCACTGTGGAAACTCTTTGTGATTAGATTTTGTAAATTGTTGATTACAGTGTTGTAGTAGTATTTCTTTTGTCTTAACCTATAATCCATTCTACATAATTATTGTAATTAGTTAATATCTAAATAATCTGATTTGCAGAATATGATCTAAAGGCCAAAGGTTCAAATTCTCCTAAAATATTATGTAACATCAAAACATCATTGTCTTTTATAAGATATTGTATATCTAAGGAAGCCTTTGAAAATATAATATGTAGTAAAATAACTTTATGAGAAGTGTTTTATTTACACCTGAACAACCGTTTTAAAAATTATAAACTTACAGCTTTTTTATTAGAAATTAATTTAATATACAATCAACTAATTATTAACATAATATTATTAAAGAACAATAGGTAATTCGTAGTAGCTTATAATTTGAGCGTCTTAAAATGTCATTCATAGGAAGCTAATTTTAGTAAATATCTACGTTTTTTGAAACTATTGTCTAAGTCTGTAAAACCCCAAGAAAAATATTATAAGCTTATTTGATTAATTTAATTTCCTTTATCAGTTTAATGTTACCATTTTACAGCCATTTTTTTTAAGTAGTGGAAATACTGTCCAATAATGTGTCGTAATATGGTAATCAGGTAATAGTTTTATAATTGTAAGTACTGAATCAATAAGGAATGTAGTTTGTGGTGCCTTATTTACGTATTTGAAAATCCTGTGGTTGAATATAAGTAAGTAAAAAAATAGGACCAACTGCAATTATATTAGTTTAGGTTTAGAATTTATAATTCATTACTCGTTAAAGTAGGCAATAAAATGGAAAAGGAATATACCTATTGGATATTACATGCAGATGTACATGATAAGATGATTATTTCATGCATCAGATACATTAAGTGACATAAAAATATAAACCTACGAAAGTTCTATAACTAGTGGACTCTAATAATTCTTTATTTTCTTTTTTTATTTTATTTATATGGCATGTGACCGTTATAATTATCAAATAATTATGTAAAACAATACAAAAACCAATTTGAAAAGATGACAGCCATAGATAAATTGATAAAATAAAGGCAATCTTATACAGCTATTTTATTAAAGATTATTTATATAAAATGCAGTGTGTAACTAAAGAAATCAAATGCTAATATCTTTTTCCTAGCCTTTCCCAAACAAAAATTGTATTACACATAGATAAAAAAAAAAGCCTTTGTCATTACAAGAGCTGCAATTTAATTCCAAATATTATTTGTATGGAGACCCGCCATTGTTCTTTATAAAATTATTTTATTTAGTAAACATCTTTATTTGAAAGATGTATACTTAGTAAATATATTATTTATATCTTTCTGTCAGGATAGTTAGTAGAGATGGTAAAAGATGCCTGTAAAGAAGGTTCAAAGGTTGAACTCAAAACAAAAGTCTTACAGCCAATCAAAAGCCACTTTAACACGGCTACATAATAGATTTCAGATATTTATAACACAATCTATTATGTAGCCGTGTTAAAGTGGCTTTTGATTGCATTTCACGTTGTAGTTACATTTTTTAAACCTATAATGTATTATATATATATATATATAAATAGATATTAATTGTCCAGGTTTACCAGTGGAGTGTTTGGTACAACACCTATACACTCGTTTTTGAAAATCTCGACTTGATGTTCAATATATCTTTCAAAATTGTTGTATGGACAGCTAGGCAGCACTTTGAATATAGGTTTGCCTTTATTACAGTGATAAATTGACCTTAGTGTTAAAACTGGTGGTTTCTCTGGAAACCTGACACCTGAAAAAAAAAGAACGACTGGAATGGTATGCTTGTTACGCATTACGTAATTACTTAACGAATTAAAATGAAATTTTTGAATTTGACCCTGAAAGGAACAACTCCTATATACAACAGATATATTATTATAGAAAGGGATTGACGTCATAAGGCATAAAGTTATATTTGTTTAACGATACAAAGCGAAAATGATCTCTACTAATTGAGTTTCTTTCACAGTCAAAGAACATAAATCAGAATGCTAACCTATGTCTATTTGTAGAATCCAATGGAAGTTATTTAATTCAAATAAGAAAGCCGCACTATTAGCATCATGTTCTAAAATAGCAGATTCATATTTAACAATTAACTGTGCTAACAGATCGCGCTTTAATTTTTCGTTGCTTAATAAATCTCGTATCTGAAACAGAAAAGACAACATATGAAAGACAAATAATATTTAGAAGTGTCACCGACAAATGTCAGCTTTAAGCATCAGCTTTCCATCCTTGAAAATAAGAAAGCAGATGTTCGTGCTTTCTTTGTACCGAAATCTACTTTTAACCTTGCCTTTTAACATGCAACAACAATTTACATTTTTTTTTAGGCCTTCATATTGATAATGACATGTAATAGAAAACTCAAATTAATTGTGTGTGTAATCAATTAAATAGATTTTCTTATGTTTTATATATGCTATCAAAAGTAACCAATGAAAGTGCACTTCATGCCGGTTATCACGGCTATGTGTCATCGACCTTAAGGTTCGGAATAATGTTCTGGGGACGTGTTTATAGTAGACTTGCAACGAATAGTATATTCGGCAGTATACCGAATATTCGGCGAGGCCCCTGACGGAATAGCCGAATATTAGGCACAAGTATTCGGCTGGATTATAGCGCCAAAAACTTGTACAGACGTGATTGTTTCGCGCTCCTTTGTTTTGTTCTAATGTACTCATCGCCCGCGCGCCCGCTGTTGCTCTGCGCGGTATATTATATTGCTAACGCACTGCATGTTTCGACCATTGATATAATACTTACATAGATGAGTAATTACCGCCTAAAATCGTTGCTACTGCACATATGTCCACGGGCATATGCGTAGCAAACGTCAATTCATTATTCAATGTGGCGTCAACCGAGTTGAACATAGCGACACATGACAGTAACAATCGCCAAAATGGCTAAATGCGTAGTGAAAGAATGCGATTCAAGGTCACAAAACATTAATAAATCATGCGGAATTACTTTTCACGTGTAAGTTTATGGTTTTTGTATTGATAATATCGTAAATAAGGCTATAATTGAAATAAAACACTGATAATTGTAATTTAGAATCAGTGTTACCATTAAAAAATCATTTTGGTTTTCCCACATTAGTGGGAGAATTTATAATTTATGAAATAATATGCTTTATACTGTTTTTAAACATTTTGCCAATAATAATAAAATATAGGAAGAACGGTAGTTGTTAGCCTTTTTTTAGGGACCCGTTGAACGTTGAAAAAAAACACGTCGAAAAAAGCGTAACCACTTTTGAACTTTGACGACGTAGCTTTGATACCACTAAACATTTGAAAGTAAACATATTTATGTCTCATTTACACGCGAGACAAGAACAATACCTGACTGACTTTTGTACAAAAAAATTAATTCATTGTTTTTCTTAATTTATTATCAATTTTAAATAATAATTGTACAACATAATAATAATAATAAGATACAGAAGGCAGTCCTCCTTGACACGGCTCGTATAGTGAGGAGGTTCCTATCTTTGCAGTCCTAACCACTGGTGTCCTGGTACCTGTACCCGATATCGGTGGTCTACTATTTTTTATATTTTTAAATGTATTTTTATTTCTTTTGTAATATATTTAAAAATGTAATTAATATGTATATATAAAATTTAATAAAGAGAATAATAATAAATGTTTATCATAAAAATAAAAATATAAAATAAAAAAGTAAATAAACATAAATAATTTTTTTATAAAATAAAATAAAAAATTTTTTTATTTGTTTTTTAAATTATAATAGAATTTGCAATACACCCTGGGGATTATTTATTATCAGTAGGTACAAGTTGATCATTCACTTTTATTATTGCTATTATTTTTACATACGTAAAAATAAGAGTGTATCATGAAAGTAAAATATCCACACAAACTTATAAAAAAGAGTCTAAAAGACAATTGTATACAAAACTGATGCTTCACAGCGCAGTTTGATTTTACACTGAATATAAACCCTTTTAACCAAATATTTCCAGTTATTTTATTATTTATACCTATTCTATTCAATTCGAAATATATTATTTAGAATATTTAAATTAATTTATTTTATTACAAAATTATTTCTTAGTTGTTATGGGTAAAATTTCATACGGTAGTCAACACTGGCCCACCATCGTAAAGTTATATCTTTGTCTTTGTCTAATCCGAGCGATGGTATTGTTCTTGTCTCGCGTGTAAATGAGACATAAATATGTTTACTTTCAAATGTTTAGTGGTATCAAAGCTACGTCGTCAAAGTTCGAAAGTGGTTACACTTTTTTCGACGTGTGATAATGAGGTTTGCTTCTCTAGTGTTGTTTTAACTCAATGGTTTCGACAAGTTCATTTCGTGGATATCGTATTACGTTAAGTACAGTTTATTGTGCTCTCTTAGTTTTGATCTGTTTGTAAGTGTGATAGTGTGAAATTTAACAAATAAACAATTAAATAATTACGAACGTACTTTAATAATAAAAAAATCGATTATGGCCTTTAAAAAAAAACCGCCTATATGGGCATACTTCGAGGATGATGTAAATGATCCAAAAAGTGCCGTGTGTAAACTGTGCGAAATAAATATTTCTCGTGGTGGCGTTGGAAGAAAGGCGACAACATCGGGTATGTTAAATCATTTAAAAAATAAACACAATGAAGAATATCATAAGTTGGTACCCACGTTCCCTAAGGGGCAAGAAACTACAAATCAAGATACGAATGTAAGTAATAAACCTTCAATGTCAAAAATACAATTAACTCTTGGAAAATGTGCAGAAATTAATAAACTATGGGATATTAATGACCCCAAGGCAAAAAAGTAAATATAATTGATAATGAGGCAGTAAATATAGTAGAAAGGGCTGGTTTTAGAAGACTGATTAACAGCGCTTTGCCGCGGTACAATGTACCAAGTCGTCCTTACTTTTCAGACAATGTGATTCCAGAAATTTATCGTAAAGTGGTTGAGAAAATTAAAAGTTTACTTTCAGAGACAGATTATATTTCCGTAACGACCGACATGTGGACGTGCTTGCATAATCATAACAGTTTTTTAAGTTTTACTGCACATTTTATTGACCGCCAATTCAACCTCAAACATGTAGTATTGAGCATCAAGCATTTTGAGGGACAACACACAGCAACGAATATAGCTATTAGTTTACAAGAAATTGCAAATTTGTGGGACGTCCGTGAAAAAAATCATATTGTTATTCATGATAATGGACGAAACATAGTAAAAGCTGTTAGTGATGCAGAGATGGCCTCAGCACGTTGTTTCATTCATAGTATTCAATTGATTGTCTAAAGGTTCAGTTAGATGTGACTCAAATGATAGCTACAGGTAGAAAAATCGTAACTCATTTTAATCATTCTGGTACTGCACAAGAAAAACTGCATTCTGTCCAAAAAGATTTGGGTCTCCCTCAACATGAGTTAGTCCAAGATTGGAACTCTACATATTATATGCTCGAAAGGCTAATGCAACAAAAACGAGCCATTTCTGTCTATCTGACGGATTGTCATATTGCCAATTTGACTGCTGCACAATGGGAGCTTTTGGAGCATCTTTTAAAATTATTGCAACCATTTGAGGAGATAACAAAACTTATAAGTTCCGGCCAGGCTTGCATTTCTGAAATTATTACGTATGTTGCTACCTTAATGCGATATTTCAATAAAATGAGCACGTCAAAAGAGCTAACACCCAAATTAAGCTAGGCAATACTCGTCATACAACAAGGGTTACAAAAACGATTTGCAGACATTATAACGAGTAAAAATAATTTGGTTGCTACCTTTCTCGATCCAAGATTTAAAATGAATGCTTTCACCAATCAACTGCAAAAAGAAGAAGTGAAGCAGTATGTATTAATTGATGGCATAAAAATGAGCTGTGAAGAAACAAGCGACGATAGCGCGAGTTCGTCCCCTACTTTGGCCAAGAGGATGAGAACTGAAGACCAAAGTCTAAATCAGACTCTTCACTCAACTTTTATGGATTGCTTCGAAGAGCTGATAGCAGAAAAAAGCACTGCTTCTGGAAACACATCAACAGAAAAAAATTAAGTTTCAACAGAAATGGATCTTTTCTTAAATATTAGTAATATATCACGTCATGACAACCCGTATACATGGTGGCAAGCAAGGAAATTTGAATTTCCGTGTTTGATTAAGATTGCAGTAAAATATTTGTCGGCGCCAGGAAGTAGTGTTTATTCAGAGCGCCTTTTCTCTGAAGTTGGGATGGAAAAAAAGAAGTAAACTACTTCCTAAAAATGCAGAAAAGTTAGTCTTTCTGCACCATAACCTTCCCCTTCTAAATTTTGATTATGAAAATAATCCAAATGCATAGAAAAATTCTTAACTTGTTTAATACAGAAAATGATTAAATTATGTACCTGTTTTATGTACCAATGACTACTTAATAAATGATTATAAAAGAAATGAGAACCTTACTCTTCTAAATTTTGATTACCACAATAATTCAAATACATAGAATCCTCCATTTTTCCAATTCTGAAGATGATTATGTACCTGCGTTATGCACCAATGACTACTTAAATGATTATAACAGAAATGAAAATATGAATATATACGTAATCAATCGATTTTAATTTTTTATTTTACCAATTATTTCTCTATGACAAAATATATTATTTAAGTATTCGATATTCGGCCGAATAATATGTAGATATTCGGTATTCGGCCGAATATAATAAAAGCAGCCGAATAGGCCGAATACCGAATAGTAACTGAATATTCGTTGCAAGTCTAGTTTATAGCTCAAGAAAAATTACTGTGAGCTATGTGTAAACTAAAAAGCACTGATACATGTAAGCCACACTCGTAAATTAATACTATTGACATTTCCATCTATGTATATTTATGAAGTCTACATGTTCGTGAGAAATAACATTTCTTTATTTTCTTTTATAGAAAGTCAACGTCGCTCACAAGAAGTGTTTACGCAATGGCACCAAACCTGTACAATCATTTACCTAAACAAATCAGAGACCGTAAAAATGCATGCGTTCATGGGCGGTGGTAGTCACTTTCCATCAGGTGATTCTACTGCTCATTTGCCCCCTCTTCCATAATAAAAAAGACCTCCATTTATTACAGCAAATTTACCTACCTTGTTATTTAGCATTTCGGTAACCATAGGTACATAATCCATTAAAACTCCAGACTGGTGCATTCTAAAAAGAATATATGAGTATTTCATTATTCTGTTCCTTCATTTAGTTAGATTTACCTTGAAAATAATGTTTTTTTACTTTATTGTTTTAATTAATATACTCACAGTGGTAATGTTATATTTCCTAAGGACTTTGTAAGCAGTGGTGATAATATTAATTCCGCATTGGTAGAATTTGGGTACCTGACTAATAGTAATGCTGTGTCAATACCAGGGTTCTCATCAACTCTGTGAATGAAAGAATTTAAATTTTATTTTTTCCATAAAGATAGATAATGATGTGATAAATAGCTCCAGGTACTGCAAAAGATAACGTAGTCTAAGGCAGGGTTGTCCAAACCAAAATACAATCTAGGGCCAATAAAAAACTACATGGATTAGGGGCTGCAAAAAATATTTAAAGAGAAAATACAAATATATCATTTATTTTGAGATTTGATTGCTTATTCATTAAATTAACTTTTACAATTCTATCAATATCAATAATAATATTAGTTTTTACGTTGCATGAGTGATGTATCTATCAATGAAGACCTTTATTTTGGTTTCAACCATTCATAGTTGAATATGTAATTTCACAAAGAAATGGTATTCCGAAAAACCTATATGCAATGTTTTCTCTCCAAAAACAAAAATTTTAAGGGGATATTTTCTTAGTTAAAAGTAGATAAAAACATTTTGCAGGCTGCATAAATATTAGACACAGGGTGTGGTTCGGACAGCTCTGGTCTAAGGTAATGTGTAACATAGCAAAGGGTAATGGTTGGTATCTTTTATGGCCATCTAGGAGAAAGAAAACCTCATTGCACTGACACCAAATAAATTTAGGAAAAGGCTAGGAAGATGATGATGACTATCATGTTAAAGCGTTGAACCACCTAACACAGGGGTTGAGGTTCAAGGCCTGAAAGTATTGTTTGTACTTGAAAGAAGCCATGTAGGGAGCTATATAAGCAGCCCCATGGAATATTCAATAAATTCATGCTCTATCTATGTTACATTTTTTCGAACATGTATATCTCTTATAAATAGATTTAAACAGTTATTATTACCCATCACTATACAGTTCTGGAAGATGTGATGTGTCCACATTTAATCTGATCAAAAACTCCGTAACATGGTTTCCAACCCATACTTCAATGTCCTGTTCAGATGTTAAAGCATCACCAAGTAAAGCACTATATTCAAAACATGCTCGTGAACTCTCATCATCATTGAGTTTCTTTACCTACAATCAGATTACAAATTATGAATTGTACAGTTTATGAAAATAACAGATCGCGATTTAAGATAAGAACTGTCGAATCATCAGTCAACAATGGAGATAATTATGAAAGACTAGGTAGCTCTTGCCCAGGGTAGAACATGCACTATGAAATCTAGATTGACTGATAGAATACTTCTATACTTTTTTTTTGTAAATACATACATACTATATGTAGAAAACACCTAAACTCTGAAACAAATATTGGCAGATCATACCAACATTTGGTCCGACCCAGGAATAGAATCATACATGTATAGATAACAATCAGTGCACATGTGATTTTATTCAACCAATCAGTCAATATTTAATCTATGTATACAGAATTTATGTATTATTATAATACTTAATAAATGTGGTTTAAATTTAAATTGTTTAAGTTATACAAAATAAGTTTGATAAAGAATATTAACCTGATGTAGTTTATAGAGGCTGATTAATTCTGAAAGTACATTACTAAGGGCTTTCGGGTCATTTTCATTCCATTTTGATAAGCTGGGAACTTTTTCTTCAAATAAATTTTCATCAACATTCATTAGAAAACTATCATCGTCAAATCTAAAATCTGGAGCGAACCAAGGAGATGTACTGTCAAACAATACTTCCCACTTCAGCTTCTTAGAACAATAAGGTAACACAACACGGAATTGGCTTTCTCCTCCATCAAAATTTCCTAGTACCCTTTCAAAATCCACTTTAGTCTTACATAAACCTGTAAACAACACTTCTAAATAATTGTTTCAAATGTAGTAATTATATGTCGACGCAAAATGAAAGTAAATAACTGAAATTCACGCCTTTTGCTATTTTTTACCAAGCTTTTAGTACTTACCAAGCTTCAAATCCTGATAAACACATTGGACGTAAGGTCTAAAAACTGGAGCTAAATCATTTAATACACCAAAAGTTTCTGTAGCCATTAGAAATAATGATGAGAATATCTAACAAAAGTTAAATATACGGATATTAGTTAGGAAATACAATGGCTAATAATGCTCAAAGTTCAAGCTTCCTAATGATAATGTAGTGACTTGGTCAGCATTTAATGATACTAAATAAATAAGTGAAAGATCCTTGTCTTATTTACAAAATCAAAATACGAAGTGATGGGCCTGAACAGGGGTATATATGTTCTGTGGCCTGAACAATTATTTATTATAGGTAGGGTAGGGTAGGTACTTGACATTCACTGACAGATAGACAATCATCAAGTCAGGGTTGTCAACCTTAAACTTTTTAATATTGTATTTTGCTTTAAAGTCTACAACTCGTAAAGTGTTTAATTTAAAGTTGTGATATATTTAGTTAGAAACCGTTATGTAACATGACCCAAAATTTTGTTCAAAAATTAAATAATCAGTCTCTATTAACCCTACAACTCAACATGTGCTTGAGCATCCCAAACCGATTGGTTTTCTAAATATCTCATTTAGTTTCTTACCTACAAAGAAGTTTTCTAGGAGTATTTTAGTGTGATGTTGAATGCTCGTAATTTGTAAGCGTTGAAAGCTACGCTGTGTGATCACCTATACAAGCGATGTAGGGTACGTGTGTACCCCAGTGTAGGAAAATCTGTCCAAAAAACCAAAACTTTGGCTGATGTGTTCATTTCATGGGCTAGTGAATGCGGTCAAAAGCTATTCTTGTGTTCTTTTCAAGTGCTCAAAAGTATACAACAAGCAGGGCATGAAATAACGGTGTATCTTAAAAAAAATAGGCTTAGAGCCTATTCTCAAACATTTGGAGGACCGGTACTCCTTTGGAGTGATCCTAAAAGAACGCAAGATCCTTGAAGTACGGTTTATTCGCTTAGGGCACAAGGACGGTATGGCAAATGTCCAAAGGCAGAACAAATTGCCAAAGGTGTAAGATACCTATTTGCTCAGAGCATCAAATAAAAATAAATCATCATCATCATCATCATCAACAGCCTTTAATAGTCCACTGTTGGACATGGGCCTCTCCTTGGAAAGGAGAGAAAAAAAAAAAAAGTGTTCAAAATAAAACTTACTTTATTTTAAGATTACATAAGGCTGATTTGTAATCTCATGTTCCTAATTGTTTCTAAAAAAAAACATATTTTCATAAATAGTTTTTTTTATTTTAAGAATCAGAGACATTTTAGTATGAAAATCATATGCACTAGACTGTGCAGGGTTTTAGGATTAATGAAGGATAGCGAGAAGCTGCATTGACCTAAAAAATACTTGCACCTAAGCGACAAAGTTAGAGAACCAAAAAATACATTTCAAAGAATTCTTTAAACAAATATCGAAATTGTATTTAAAACAAAAACAATCAGCAATACGCTGATTGTTTCTTCAACCACAATCAACTAAAATCAAATCAAGTTTTTTCGGTTAGATAAAGTAAAAAAAACAGGTCATCATTCCACATAAATAATCGATTTAGTTAATTTAGCACATGCCTAGAGCTGTCATTTGTTTTTGTCGTCATATAGTCCGACGGATATTGTGGAATTTGCTGAACAAGGACAGGACAATACTAAAGCAGTATTTATTTAAACGCTCTACATATACCTTGTAGCTAGCATTTAAGCTTAATCATATAAACAAGATACATATACGTATTCACTCACTACTTATAATTTGCATGGCAGTCGTATGGAATAGTAATATGAAAAATATGTATTCTTCCGCGCAGAATAACATTTCTGATCTTCTTAAATTAGCCAAAAAATTCAACTGTTTTTATCTATCAGGTATGTGATTACGTTTTAGAATAATATACGCGCGTATATGAATGATTGCTGCAGGTGGTTGTGTTTGCTGGTTACGTGTTTTGTAAAAACAGTAAGTTAAAGAAGCAACTTGCACTGTTTGCTTACAATGTATTGTTTCAGGTTTGCATGAGGGGATATGTAAACCGTTTATAGTAGCCGGATACCAAGTGGGTTTAATTCGCCCAGATGTATTAAAGTACCTGATTAGATTCCCAGAGGTAAGTCTCTCTCATAATCCAATATGATTCAGGATGGAATATTATTTATTTAGATGCAACAATCCATTCTTTTTTGATGATTGTGTTTGTGTCTCTTAGTGGTGATCAAACACAAATAGCTAATACTTCGTGTTACTTAAAGTGAGGAAGAGATTAATTTGTGGTTACTTCCTCTTTATATAGTTAGAGAGGATGTTCATGTTGGGATTATTTTTATCTGTATGGTAAAAAGACTATATTTTGTCAATTACTTAAAAAAACTACATTTTAGTTTGAATGTAACCATCTTTTAACAGTTAATATTAAAATTGCACAGGTGTTTAGGATCACTGGGAAGTATGTAGAATTAAATCCAGCTTTCAGAGATTACAAAGAGAGAACAGTGAAGGTAGCAGATGTGTTACAGAGTCTAAGGAAGGAGAATGAGATATGTGCTCTGAAAGGATGGAGAGATGAGGTTTGTCACACTTTAATTGTTATTAAGACCACTTGTCACCATGTCACCACCCCTATTCATCCCGTGGGTGTCGTAAGAGCCGACTAAGGGAGCAGACTATGCAGGACAACAGCACTGCAAAGAGAAGGAAAACTTGAAACAAACTCTATACCAACCCGTCTGGCCAGCGTGATATAGTAGGCCAAAACCTCCTTTCTAAGGAGAGGCCTATGTCCAGCAGTGGATTATTATAGGTTGTTGATGTGATGTTGAAGAAGACCACTTGTGTCAGTTTTTATTAAATTGCATCAGATATCTCATTCACTAAACAAGATATGGCACTAAATTTGTTCATTACTATGGTCCTTATAGAAATGCTTTAGTTTGAATCATATCTCTCATAGAGAAATGTCTATTGCATATATTATATGGTTTTAAGTTCAAATGTTACATATATAGATATTTCAATTAATCAGCTGCTTGAAATCTCATAGTGGATCAGGGCCTCAATTCTGCTATTTTATGTACGCCAAGCCTCTGTCATTCTATTGACACGCTAATGAGACGTCATTGATATCAGTCAGAATATCAGTATTCAACTAACATAAATTCAGTGTCAATAGACTGTTGATATAGTAGTATAGGTCAACAATGGTGATATCAACAACATTGCCATACCTGGAAAATTAAGTATATATGACTTTCCAAAAAAATTATAATGTATTGTTTACTGCTAAAAAGATATCGACGACATTTGTATCAGTGACAAGTCATGAAAGGCCATTAGTCTTCCATGTTGGTAGAATGGGAAAAGAGTAAGACTATTCTGACAACTAGTATGATACATAAAAATGTCACACATGTAATGTACAAAGGGTGGCCTTATTGCTAAGAGCAATCCGTTCCAGGCAACCTTAGGAGTGATTAAAATGTTTTGGTGACACAGTAGTAGTTGAAGTTCAATGAGTTTTGTCAGGTTATTTACTAATGAATATAAAAGAGGTAAACTTAGATAAATATTTACACATAAAATACATATTTATAAATACCAACAAATGTATAATATACATACATACATAACTAAGATCAAGATACATAAAATTCTTTGATATTCCTTAGAAAGGATAATAAAATTATACTTAAAAAGTATTTTTAATGTGTGTGACTGCCAATAGTATTGTGAGTAATGAAAGGAAGAGGAACAGTAAAATTAATGTATTTTAGTTTAATCACAAAAATTGGAATAACATTATGTAAAATTACGTTTGATAACACTATTATTTATTATAATAAATTAAAAATTATTAAAAATTTAAATTATAAATTTTAAGATTTTGAACACAAATTTCTGAAAATAAAAAGTAAAATATATGCTGACTACATCAACGTGGGAGCGCCTCGCCTGGAGACTGACCACGCGGCGTCTACCTGTGGACCACCTGTCGTTCACTGGTTGATCCGCGGAGTCCAACCGTTGACCACCTGTCGACAACGGATGGACACCGAGCGATATTCTGGTTTTGGTCTGGTGGGTCTAATGAGAATTGCCCTGAAACCTTGAAACAGTTGTATTGTATTGCAGAAGGTCTAAATTAAACCTGGTGCATGTTGTCATGCACACGTGCACACTGGTGCGTTCTATGAGCCAACCAGGCTTCCGTATGCTAGGCGCTTTGTGGAGCAAGTTTTTTGTTTTTAATCATACTATATAATGAATTTGGCGCCCCTGCAACTGCCGCCCGGGGCGGGTGCCGCGCCTATGCCTTGTTACCTATAATGAAAATGTAAACTCGAATAGATATTCGCAAAAAAAAATGTTGACACACATTTTCATAAAATGCCGTACTCAAACTGATAAAGTTTTAAAATTGATATAAACAAAAAGCTATGGTTGGTCATTACTACGAACGACATTACTAAGAAAAAACGCGTCAGAAAGAATAAAAATATTTACCTAATTCCAAGAGAGAAATAAAAAGTATTAACCCAAAACTAAACAGAAATACATCATCAACATCATAATTATGATAAGTATGACAGCTGTTTAGGCTTTTCACCAACTTAGTGTGACATTGTTCAATAGTCTGTGCGTACGAAGTCGCTTGCATAGCTAGTTCATAATAAAGTACCTAGGTGCTGGTCCCTTCGGAAAAAAATAGTTAACATCTCAATCTGTTCACATATTGTGGATGAAATACGTATCTAGTGTGGATGAATTGTGTTTATAGTCTTAGTCGCCTTCATGTCTGTGATAACAGGTTCCTTGATGACAACATTCTCATTCACAAGAATCACTTACACACACCCATACACACTGTTTACCTTTCTTTTGTACTTACACTGTACACTATTAAGATGACAAACAGTTACCTACTTAAAGAAGTTTTTATAAATTAAATATCACAGTAGTCTGGTTGGCTCTTTTAATGTCAATTGTCTGTTATTCACTGTATGTAAGTACAGATCTTATAAGGTGGTGCCTGTTGCACCCACTGCTGGGTAAAGGCCTCTTCTCTATAATGCCAATCCTGGCGATCGTCACGCCCTCACCCCCGCCGTAACAAGAACCGCTGCCCGAGCTCGGAATAGCGTGGCTGTCGGGGACTGAAGACCGTTCGTTAAGGGGTGATTCATAGTGATAGAGAACGTTATTAGCCGTAAAACACACCTAATTACAAACTTTGTTAGCATAGAACACGCCTACAAAGCCTATTCTTACGTAGGGTCTTAGGTTTATAAATTATTGAAAAGACGACGAAGGCACGATTCTTGTTGTTCACACTTTATTACCTATTTATTTAAGATTTTTCAACATTTTTACGCACCAGGTAGCTAAGCACTTCAAGCAAGTTTCATTTTATCTTTTATTCATCTCATTTTAAGTACTGTGCCTACAAATTAAAAACAAAGGAAACATTCGAAAGACAAGAAGAGACCACATAAGAAAACAGACAAAGGTAGACAAAGATCAACATCGACAAAGCTCTCAAGTACGCTCCAACACAAAATTGGCGTTGGACAATAGAAACAACAAAATGGGAAGTACCAATGGGCAAAAGAAAATATGGGTAGATGGAATAATAGCTACAGGAAAAAACAGAATAGGCAAACATGAGTTAAGTTAGAGGAGGCCTATACCCAGAGAAGAGTTACATTAACGTTATGAAATTAATACATCGTTTTTAAGAATAATATGTTTTGTAAAGTTGTTGGAAATAAAATGGCTAATTGATTTATTCTTACTGTGCGTACAGCACTTACACTGCTAGACTGCTAGTAATATGTACAATGCTTACCGCGTCCTTGCGTCCACCAGTGGCTTTCATAAGCCTGCTAATTAAAACAGAAACTTCATGTGCCTCCAGTACACACTAATACACAGTATCTTGTGAGGAAGTGTAATAGGGTGACTATTCTGTTTTTAAGAGTGGCATACAATTTTTTTGTGATATAATTATTAATGTATACGAGCCGTTCATGTAGCTGCCTGCTGCCTATTTCCTGTAACTGCCTGCTGCCTATTTAATGTAAGTACAAAAGTAATTGGACTCGTGGAAACATGTAAAGGCCCCACCGAAGATGACTGCTGACGAACTGACCATAACCGTCTCTCGACAGCGGACTTTTTGAGGGCAACCATTCTTATTTGCTTCTGGTCAGGGTAAAAGGTTTGACTGGTTACTGATCTGTTTTAAATTATACCCATTGGCTCTGAATGAATCAAAGAAGAGCAATCAACGCTCTTGTCTCTACGTGTATACCTCGTAATCCCGAAGAGCCTTTAACGTCTATTTCGTTAAAGATTTATTCTCAATATAGTAGAGCTCTCTATAAAACTATATACACCGATCTGAGAGAATCCGTAGAGGGCGGATGACAGACTTCTAGCTTGTTCTCCAATCATCTTTAGTTCTATGGGGAAATAATTCCTCCTCATTTTTACAAACATTTAAGGTAAGGAGTTTAGTGCAAAGGCAATCTATTATAATTTGAAACGCTTGGTCTGTGGATTGAATAGCGCTTGTTACTACTCGCCAGTTATAACGAATGTCGAGATCTCTGAAGTGATTTCAAGAATAGAGGTGACAGAGGATAATCATTATTAATTATGGTGGCAATTATTAACAAAAAATAAAAATATCGTGTTAGCAAAATTACTAAACATCGAACCGCGTGCTATCAATACGAGTATATTATTCATATAGTATTACTTATAAAATCGTGGTAACTTCACTCTATTATTCTGATACTAAACAGAAACAATTATCACCGTCAGAGGATAATCCATATTCAATGTTCATGAATAAAACTCGGTCATTGATGGACCGACTAATATAAATAAATAGACTTGCTATCGTTTGTGATTGATTATTGAGGTTCATACTTTCAAATCTTATGTCTCAATTTTGTTAAATCAACAAAGTATGTACCTGACTGCTTATTTTTAAATTGCATTTTTTTTGCCATTTCCTACATATGGCATGTAGTTCATAAACATCCTTTACCTAATATGTCCTATGGCCTGTCCTAATATGTCCTATGTCCAGCAGTGGAGCTGGACATAGGCCTCTCCTTGGAAAGGAGGTTTTGGCCTACTATACCACGCTGTCCAGATGGGTTGGAACAGTTCTGTTTAGTTTGGATCTAGGTAGCAACGTGTAAATTGTCTCAAAATATTATTATTAGGCATATGTGTAATTAACATTTTTATGATGTTATATTTTTCAGTGTTTTGGAGTTACCACGCCTTTATATCCGGAGAACCTCTTAGAGATGGACAGAAGTGCTATGTGTCTCTTTGGCATCAGGAACTATGGAGTCAGTGTTACTGGCTATGTAAACCATCCCACAAAAGGCTTGTGCATCTGGTTACAGCAGAGAAGCTTCACGAAACAGACTTGGCCTGGTAAACTTAGTTCAATCACGAAAGTTTTTTTTATAAAATTACTCTTAAGGAAATTGATAACCTAGGTTAGAAATTTCATTTGGACCGATATCATTAAACAATCGTGTGCCACTAAATGCATGCATAATAGAGTGACACTATATGAAATTAAAAAATCGAAAAACATAACATCTAATCGAGTTTAACACTAAATTGAACAAAAATAAAACAACAAACAATTGCAGTGTTATCAATGGTCATGTAAGTCATGCGTGTGAGTGTCAAACGACAAAGACTGGTGAGCGCGGAACTCAACAGGAATTAAACGACGGTGTATCGACATTTTGAAAATATTGATGTATGTCTATTCATGGGCCGTCATCAAAGATAATGTCTTTTTGTCATCATACTGTGTAGTGTATATTTTTTTCCGCCGGAAAATAACGTAACAGTATTCTATTTATTTAGTGTAGTAAAAATCGTTTAAACGTTCCATAAAACGTTCGATAAAACGTTCCATAATAAAATAAAGCCTTCCCGCGTTCCTAGTCAGTTTTACGTGATGGCAAATTGGACATTACGTACATAGGTCAAATTAAATCTTCTCTTATGTAAACACGGTGGTGTAATGATAAATCATATTATTATATCAAATATTTATTAAGTTTACTGTGAGTCAATTTTTTAAACGCTTAAGTTTTAGGTAGATATGTTTTGCCATTGTTCTTTATTTTTATAAAGACCAGAGGCACCATAAGTCTAATTAAAATATCGTCCAGGACTACGGAAATGAGCAATGAAATTAATGCTAAAAGAGAATATTTTATAGATAGATAGATAGGTACTCTTTATTGCACACCATGGATAGAAAACATACAATGCAATATAAACATAAAGTAAAAAAAAAACGTGGTACAATGGGCGTGGTACAATGGGCTGCCTTATCGCAGTCTGCGTCTTACAGGCACCCTTTAGATGGACTATATGGAATATAGATTTACATAAATACATATTCATACACATACGTACATTATACATTACGATGACGTAATGTATAATAATGTATTTATATGAATAAATATACGTATACATTACATACCTACATATAACACATAGTTCTTACAGAGATAAATAGTGATCCTTGACGAGTCTCTTAAAAGTACTTACTGACCGTGCCCGCCTTATAGCTTCCGGTAAGGGATTCCATAGGCGTGCTGCTTGTACCGTAAAAGATGTATCAGTAAAAGTTGTGGAGTGTGTTAGAATTTCTAGTGTAAGAAGAATCGAAAAAACCACAAAGGTATAAGGTTATTTATATTTTTGCGACTTATCATACAATCAAACAGAAAACTCTGCAGCTTTTAAATACAATTCTATGAGGGGAATGGGAATTATATGTGGAGAAATTCTATGAGGATAGGGTTTAATCACTATTACAAAATTATATTAACGTTTAAGGCAAGTGGGACTGCTTTGTTAGTGGTGGTCTGGCTGTAGGATTTGGCGTTCTGGAGACAACAATTAAAGAGGCTGCTGAGGAGGCTTCTGTACAAAAAGATCTAGCTAAAAAGCTTGTATCTGCTGGTTGCGTTAGGTATGTGCTACATTTCGGTATCAGTAAATATGTATAAATATGCTAAGAATATTGTACTGAATAAAAATTAATATTGCAGTTTTTATTTTGAAAGTGAAAGGGGCTTATTTCCCAACACAGAGTATGTGTATGATCTCGAGTTGCCGTTGGATTTTATGCCCCAAAATGCTGATGGTGAAGTGGAGAGTTTTGAGTTGTTAACTGCCGAAGAGTGTGTGAAGAGAGCTCTTACACCTCAGTTTAAAACGACCAGTGCACCGGTGTTGTTAGATTTCCTGATACGCAAAGGATACATCAGTCCAGAGAATGGTAATATATGAACACTTAAAAATAATTATTTTAAGAATAAATCGATTTTTGACTGGAAAATATCATCTATTCGAATTTCGAACATGAAAATTTTGTAGACCACTCCGGGTGCTCTCAGAGATCACCAGTGTGGTCCACAGAATCCGGTTAAGAAACTGATCTACGTAAACCAGAGAAAAGTTCAAAAATTACTGATAGATGAAATAAATAAAAAATTGACACTTCTAAATATATATTATGTACATGACTAGGCTCTATAATATCGTTGATTGTTAATGATTTCAGAGCCCCACTATAGACATTTGGTGGAATTACTTCATGTTCCTCTGCAGTCGATCTACGACTGGCCATTCACAGCAGCTGCCGCTACAAATGGCGATGGCGACGAATTTCACCATGTTAATTAAATTATACATTTAATTCCTTCATAATATTGAATCCGTATCTTTATGAATACTCTGTAAAACGAATTAGTATTATGATATATTTTGTGTATCGATTTTCTAGTCTTCCTAATTTGCAATGTCAAAGATAAATGATGGTGCATGACTAACATAACTAGCTCGTGGTGAACTAGTTCGTTGCTGAAGACATAATCGTCCGTAAGTAAGAACTATAAATACTGAATAAACAACAGTTGTATTTTCAACAGCATGGGATCATGTTTTATCTTAGACAATGTTTCAGTAGGATTAGACTTTTTCCAGTGATGGCTGTACGAATATAGTATGGAGAGCCAACGATCCTTAGTGGTTTTGTTTATGAAAAAAATCAAAAATTCATAATCTGGTGGTATCACAGGTGTTCGAATTCCCAAGATATCAAAATATTAATATGAGTAAAATATGTTTTAAAGGAGTCTGTATATTTAATTGAATTTGTGATGAATTTGTAATAAGGTTGTATATGTCCAAAATAAATTGTACAATTTCGTAGATATCCCGGGACATCGAAAGGTTACATGCCTTTTTATTTTAATACTTATTTATCATTTACCAGTTACCGAAGAGGGTGACCAGTTTATAATAAACTAATATAGGAAAGCTACCTTTATACCTCCTAGAAAACCACTAGAAACATATACTTATTTACTTTTTGGATCATACTTCCTGTGTGCTCTTGAATTTTACCTAATAATTTTATTTGATTAATTTATTCACTAAAATGTATTATGTCCGCTACTACCTGTATTCCTGCTGTACCGTACCTTCAAGCTGTACCCACAAAAGATCGCGGCTCTCACAATAATACCAGTGTTTATTGTTTGATCAATATGTAAATATTTATTAGTTTATTAAATTAAAATTAACTCTTCAAGGCCTAATTATTAATTTCAATTGGCCTCGTATTCCACGTACTTGGTAAGCTTTGAGTGTTACCTGAGTATAGTTATTAATTTGTATTGGCACCTGTGACTAGTATATGCATTAACGTAATATTTTAATATAGATTGACCAAATCTTGATGTGTTGGTAATGTTCATGTATTATTGAAGACATCATAGTTTAGCTAGGTATGGTTAATTTCTGTGATACTTTACCAGTTTGGTATAAGGCAATATTATATTATCATTTGAGTTCTCTGGTAATTGTAATAATGAGAATAGCTGGAAAGTGTAGTGTTACTTGGAGCGCAATGATCCTGGTTCATGTAACACCTCAATATTATGTATATAATTTACGTGACCTGTTTTGTTTCTGTACTTAAAAAAGTATTTTTTTTAAAATAAATTTTATCCAAATTAAAATAATTATAGTAATAACAGAATAAAGTAAGCAGTAATCATATAAATATAACATACTATTATTGTACTAATAGGTGCTACTTGTTGTAGTACGAGATTAAAGTTCAGTAGTCTAGTCATGGCACAATGTCGTGGTGGGCATTATAACGTAATGTCATCTAAGTGCTTTGTTTATGTATACTTTAACTTGATCCTAAATCTCATTCCCATGTCCAGTTCAATGTAGACAAGCGTGCTCATATTTTAGAGTCGTATACTAGACCTCTGAACATTATGTAAAGTGCTTAGAGTTTTAATTCGTGATTTCTGATACACAAATCTTGTATTGAAGCTGACAAATTGGACTAAAAATGAATCGACAAAGCTAATATTTCGTATGAGAAAGGGTTCGCTTGATTAAAACTGTATGTTGTAACCAAAGCACGCTCAGGTATTGATATCTAGAAGGAATGTAGATTTCTGTGCAAGAGCCGGCATAAAAAAACACATTAAAATTGAGATGAAAGTTGATTTGTCGTTTAGAATACCATTTTCTAAAAAAAACACTACACAAAGCTCTTAAATTTTGACCATAATAAGAAGTCGCCGCCGGCAACCTACATACCGCGGCTTTTGTCTGTGTTATATAATACGCTGACTTCTAAAAAATTAAATGTTGCGGCATTCATAGAGGTAGTAGTAAAATTGTTAATTTATGCATTAACGAGGACAAGAATCTTGGTATTTCAGCATTTTGTGTATGTTCAATCTAATTATAAAATGCTGTGTCACTTACATGAACCACACACTCACTACATGCAGCACTAAACAATCACTAAACATTTTTAAGTTGTTTATTTTTTGATGAGTTTTTACTTTATCATGACAAGTTTCATTAGTAAGATGTTAAATTCTTAATAGACCACATTATTTAACCAACTGTGGGTTGTCGTAAAACCTTTACGTAAGATTATGTATTAACGGCACATAGTAAATTATTAAGAGGCCTTTCAATGTTTGGAAATAACTTTAACAGATTAGAAAGACTGAACTTTGATTTCGAAATGGTCTTTCTAAAAAATGGTTTACAAACAAAATGACCTCCAGTTAGAAGTAGAAATTATTCGCAAGTGTTAGAAACTAGTAGTTGTTTGTAGTTAACGGCGAATTATTACCGAGTAAATGCTAGTATTAATATTCAGTTGTCATTACAGTTTTATACATTTTTATAAATCCGCTATTGGCGAAAGATTTTGTATCAATATTACATAATACATACTTAAATTATGAATGTAATCGTTTATATTTGCGATAGTAATAAACTAGCGTTTTCCTAAAAATAAAGTTTTGAAACAATACGCCTTTTTACTTTTATAATTAATTATATGTAGCAGAAGACCGCTCTTTGTCTCTTTTTCAATAATTGTGCAGAGGGTAAGATTTATTTGTGCAGCGGAGCCCGAGTTCAAAAATAAGTAACTCCAATTTCAATAGTACTTTTATTTCAAAGAGCCTTCCAAACGGATGCTTATGTATATAGACATTTTTAATTACGATTCTACACGAAGAAAGAATGACAGAACAAAGTATAGGGACACTGGGGCATAATACAGTTGAAAAAGTTACTAACTAAAAGCTTCGAACATCTTATCAAACAATACTTAATTTTATTGTTGCCTTGGTTTTATTATGATTTCATAATTTTATCAATTTATTAGTAAACACATTGAGAGTATGTACAATAAAAATAGTCAATAATCACATCTCGGATCGTATTGCGTGTTGCTTATTTGAAGACAATGAACAAAGTAAAGCTAGTCCCTCCCAACTATCGTCCTAGTAGTCGTCACCACGTGATATAACTTCTTTGCAAGTGGGTCTCAATAAAATGGTGTGTTCAAACTGGGCTGTGTAACAACCCTTGATGTCACAAAGCGGGGGATATGCATCTACAACGCCTTTGTCGCACAAGTCCTTAAGGGCCAAAACATAGCGCGACGCTCCAGCTCGTTCCAGCCACCTCTTGCAGAATGCGAGTGTTCCGAAATTCTTGTTGATCAAATTGAACAGCTGTTTTGATGATTGCAGTCTGAAATTAAAATATTTAGTGTTGATGTTATTTACGATTTGTGCAAATGCCATAATAGAATGAACGTGTTTGTCAATAACGGTCGTGATACCTGAGCGGTACGAATTGTTGATCGAAGTTTTTCATATAGTGGGAACAATCCATGTCATCGTGAACTTGACCGCGGCCCGTAGATCCGAAGGTTTCAATAGCATAAAACTCATTCTCTTCCATCCTGGTTGTTTCGCCTCCTTTTACAATAGGCACTGTTTTGCCAGCATGGATTCCTAAGAAAATACCCAAATGTTATTGTAAAACATGGCAGCACGTGACGAACAAATAAAAAATACAGGGCGCGTACTTACTGTATGGTCCAATTGAATGACCATTCAGATTACGTATTGGTTTTACTTGATATATTTGACCATCTAGTTCTACCTCGTGTGACTCCATTACCTATAACAAAATTATATCATTAAGATTAATTAAGTGAGAGCCTCTAAGGAGAGGCCTATATCCAGCAGTGGATTATTCAAGGCTGTTGATGTGAAGTGAGAGCAATAAAACACGTCGCCTGAGGCAGTTACCGTGCTTCGTTGCGGTTACGCCACTAAAAGAAATCTACAGGGAGGGTTGATAATGTATAAAAAAAATAAAATTGAAGTATCTGTTTGTAATGTCAAAATAATAGGGTTTTTCATGCTCACAAACCAGTCTGTTTGTTCCTAATAAGAGTAATCTTCTAAACGGCGGGAACGATTATGAAAAATGTAGCTGTCTATACAAGGAGTAACTTGGCTATTTTCTCTCAAAAAACCCTTTAAAATTTTGCCCTTTTCGGTAATCGACTAGGGCGGCGATTTTCAAATTCCAGGCGAAGGAAGTCGCGGGTTTTTCGTATTGTCGGTATGCACTTACGACGACCGTTGAATGTTGCTAAGTGTGTGCGTAAAACTATTTGCAACTGTTGTAGTTTTTAAAGTTATAATAAGTTTACAACTGATAAGATTAAACATTTAAATGGAGAAAGGGATTTTGCTTGAATTGACAACCCTAACTATTGTATTTCGCCTCTTGAAGGAGTATTGGCAAACAGGTTTAACAAGAAAGAGGTTAGCTATGTTTTGCAAGTTTCCAAGCCATTGGTAACCGTAAATAACCGTACAGAGTATGCTGTACCCTAATCACTTACTTCTTGAACAGCGGCACCGACATCACAAAGTCTGACGTCAACACCAGACGCTTTGATACCAGCCTCCGTAGCTTCTTGCACGCCCTTAACAAGAGGATCGTAGCGAGGGTTGAAGGTTAATGTGAAGGCGCAATCGATAATACGGCCGTTTATGTGAGTGCCGAAATCAATCTTGACGACGTCATCGTATTCCAGGACTGTTTTGTCACCTAAATGAACGCAAGTACGTGATAAATATCTGATCGTTTTCTTAATTCAGTTAACTACAGTTAAAACCAACCAATCCCAATAGTTCCTTGCTGTGCTCAACTTTTTATTGGAACGAAGTTCTTTATTTTCTGGGTTCATAGACCCCTCAGACGGTATTTTAATTTAATTACATGTTATTCTAGTTAACTGTTCTTAATGCTGGTATCATGATGGTGAAATGCAAAAATAATAAAATACCAGTGTTCGGTGTATAATGCGCTGCGCAATGATTGCGACTGCATCCCGTAGGGAATGCCAAGCCTGCTTTAAGTCCATCCTCGCCAATCAAACGCCTCGCAGTTGATTCCAGTTCCTCACAAATTTGGATCATGGTCATGCCTGGTTTTATCCAGTCTCGTATGTATTTTCGCGTCTGAAAGAAGGTTTGGTAAGTTACCGATTGGACAATAACGGAAAATTTATATTAGTTTTCAAAAGCAGTTTAAAATAACACTTATACACAAGTCAAGTACGCAAATGGTGTACAACGTGTACAACAATATTTATAGCTATGCGTCTGATTAGAATGTGAATCAAGTTCGGAAAATGTTTTGCTTTGGAAACAATCAAGTTAAAAAAAAACAACCGTGAAAAAGAGGGCTTAGGTGGTTACCTGCCCTATAAAAATCTCACTAACAGGTGAGTTTCCCCCCTTTTATCAGTGATTATACCGATTTCAATTATTACACATATTTTTATAGAAAACAATGATTTACAAAAGAATTGAGCTAGATTTCAGAGTTCCGTATACGAAAAAATATCAAATGTGATAAAAATCAACAAAAAAGGTAATTTAATCATTAATATGTAATCATTGTTTTGTGTAATAATTGAAATCGGTATAATCACTGAAAATAAATGGAAATTTTGTTATGGATTTGATTTGTCTTTTACATCAAGTAGATGCACTGGTAAAGTATAGGCACTAGACATGGGACAAAATCACAGTGAACTGTGATTTATCATTCGACAGTAAATCTAGTATTTTTTAAATTATTATGTAGGGAATGGTAGCTATATACAATAAAATAATTACTAGATTTACTGTTTAATAAGCGAAATAGCGTGTTTATGCATCGTCTGAAAACAACCTTTTTTTTTGCGTGCGGTAATCCCCTCGGATACCAACTATCGGTTTCATGTCGGACTCGAAGCGACTAAAACCGCACGCCGTTTCGGGTACTAATAGCCGGGTAACCAGGTATACCCAACCCTAACCTACGTATAAAAAAATCAAATGATAAATCACGGGTTTTTCACAGTTCACTGTGATTTTGTCCCATGCCTAACAGGCACAATAAAGCAAGAATGTATTTGGAAAACACGTTTAAACATTAATTGGTTTATTTGACCACCTCAAAATTTTGAAGTAGTAAACTCACCCACCCTCACTTAGGCTAGTGGGTGAATATACCACTAACGATCTAAAAGGTGTAAACTTACCCGTTGGTGAGATTTTTATAGGGTGAGTAACCACCTTAGCCTAAGAAAACGTTATATACTTTACACTACTGTAAACAATTACAATATTGTTAGTAAATATTTACTTGTCTATGCGCCTCAGCAGCATGTCTTATTTCTTGATAGATGTCTTGGTGTAGTCTATCCAGAGCCCTCTTCTCCTCACTGGAGAAACGTTCCTTGGCTGTCCTTTCATCAATACCCTCAGCTGGGCCGTGATCCATTATTTGACCTTCTGGGTAGTTTCCTGTATGCACATTTTACCATAACTAAATCGTTGTCTATTCTCGTCTCATAAAAAGGTTTATACATAGGGATGGATTAAAATCTCGATCACTTGTGATAAATCATATCATTTATCACAGTTGGGTCGTGATTTCACGCATCACATTACACCTGTGACTAATATATAGTGTCCGACCGAAACAGGTTTTTCAGCTGAAACCGAACTTTCGGCATAAAATATTAGTATACCTACCATTATTTTTTCGAAAAAGACGACTCCCGCATTAGGAACATATCGTGTGTCGCGGGGGACTTTACAAACATACATGAAATGGACACAAATAACACCCAGACTCAGAACAACAATTTGTGGATCACACAAAGTGTTGTCCTATGTGTTGATCAAACCCCAACAACACTTAGCGTACTCGTAGTAGTAAGCGGCGAATGTCTGCGAGGGGCCTGACTACGTAGGACTGTAGGGGTATAGAATGTAATTCACCGATAATTAAGTATCTACAAACAAATAAATCTAAGGGTTGTTTTAGAAAATGATAGTCAAAACTCCAGAAATGCTTGAGGTTAGTTATCGCCTAATAAAACTATGCTCAAGCATTTCTTGAGTTTTAAGAATCTTTCTGTAATACGGCTTAATTAATATCTGAATTGAACATAATCTCTTTTATGTGCCATTAGTATATATTTAAAACTATAACTATTATGGTGACCAGACTGCTTATAAACATACTTTTATATTTATCAATACATTATTCATAAGTAAATAAATGAATAATTCATAAAGTGACTGGTATTTAGCCTGCCAGACCAGTATTTTAATATTAAATTGTCATAAGGTATTCTACTATGGGGGAATGCCGCCAAGTGCTAAACGGTTGTATGCAAGTCAGTAAGAAATCTTTTTACATTCATAAAAATGAATATCTGTTCCTTAAACACATGTAATAAATTTAAAACTACATGTCCAAGCTCTAAGTGTTACAAAAATATAACAAGTTGTTTCAAAGACATGTGCTTTTATAATATAATCTCTATATGAAAATTTAAGTCAATAATAAAACAAAAACCTTGCGACTACCTATCTACAATAGTTCAAAAGTATATTTGTCCTTTCTAGTGGCTGGTAAAGATATCTGATCTGCTAAATGTAAATATGTAATTACAGAACTTCTGTTATAATGCCTCCTTTTAAAAAGTTGTTTTAAATCCTAAATTCAGTCTAATTACTCAATGAAAGAATTATACCAATGTGCTGGGATGAAACCTTTGGTGGCTTCTAATTTTAATGTAGCTCAAAAAACTAGAGGTAAAGAAACAAAGTCAGATGTATGCAAAAAAATGTTTGTAGACTATAATTAAAGATGGGAAATAAATAGAAATTCAATTCAATTCAAATTCAAATCTACATAAACAACATGCCATCTATTCTCTTTTTGTAGCACTTTTTTCTGCAAGATTTTTTTCTTAAGCTTGTCTTGTCTGTACTTGAACACATGCAAAATTGTTAGTTTCCTCTTACTTATTCATCATAATTCATTTTACCAAAAATAATTAAATTTGTTGTAATACAAATAAGATAATTATATTTATTATGTTGCTTATACTAATAGTACCTGGTATTAACATTCATTGTTCAATAAAGTGCAATCTGCTATTAATTACTGATGTTACTAATAAAAGAATGATTACGCACCATTAGAGTACAACTCAGCAATCGGAATAGTTGGAGGATTGGTTTGTTCTTTGGATGGGCCTTTCCCAGACTTGTTTTTATTCTTCTTCTTTTTCTTTTTTTTCTCATCACCTTCACCAGGAGTTTCGTCTACAGACAATGATTCCACTTTTTCAGCAGCATCTGTGACTTCAGAATTGTTCTCTACAGGAGCATCATTTTCTGTAGAAAATGTAACAATACACTAAGTACAATAAAACAGAGTAATATTTATTGTATCGGAATCTATGCATAAGTTTTACCCTTAATTAAATCTATTTTGTGTTTTTGTGTTTTTACATGTGTATGTAGTATGGCTGGCGTAAATAGTAGGCATAAAAAGTAAACAAAGATTTCATCAATATAGGGCCATATAGCATTTTTCTATAATAATAGTATTCATATTGTTGGAAGGACAGAGAATGTCAGGTGATCAAAGAACAATTGTCATACAAGATTATCCAACTTATTAGATTTCGATTATTGTACTGTATTTCCTTTTTAAATGACGTTAAGTATATCAATAGTTTCGCGTAGGCGCTTATAGCTTCTAGGCGATTAAAAGATAAAAATAGATATTATGGTAAAATAAATGTACATCAGCAAAATGTGTTTGTTTAGTAATCAGCTCTTGGCTCTAACCTGTCTTCTTCTTCTTTTTTTTCTTTTTCTTCTTCTTAGCGGGATCTTTAGTTTCCCCTTCCTCAACTGCCTCAACTTCGTCTTCGCCGTTCTCAACTACCTCATCTAGATTAATATCCTCCTCTATAACAGAAGCCATTGTAACGATGAAAGTTCCTCTTGATCTCTTGAAAATCAAATTCTAATATAATGCAGGCGCTATAATTCCATGCGACTTTGAATGAAATGAAATGGTTGTTAACCTCAATCACTTTAGTTTTACAAAACGATAAAGGTACAGAATTATTACATATGCAGAATGACAGCAAGATGGCAAAACACAATGACCGTGCGCGTAAAAGAGATACGATTACTATTTAACTCTGTCTATGTTAAAAAAAATCGTCCACAGAATTCAATGTTTCTGATGTTATTTATAATCTGTATTTGGGAAATTAGGAAATTTAGTTAAAGTACCTATAGAAATAGCGAAGCATAGAGCAAATGTTAAACGGCGTAAACCCGATATTTTTGCTTAATAGATTTATGAATCAAATAGCTTGCGATCAAACTTTCACATATGCACAACGAAATTGACAAATCTGTTGTTAATATTTTCTGTGTTTTCAGCTATTTTATAATATGACTATCAAACTGATAAACTTATTAACAACATAATATACCTATATATAAATGTGCAATCAGACTGTTAATGATTAAATTAGCCATTGCGGTACAAAGAGTCGATTTCACCAGATTAGATCAATTGTAGATATATTTTACTGAGCTCTGTAAACTAGTGTTATTTTCGATTTTCAAAGAAATTTGTCTTTTAATAATATATGACAGAGATGCGTTCCATTTTCAAATTTCGAGCATCTCAACACTTATATAGCTACGATGAACATAGCAGTTTTATGATGAATGCTTATTACATGTATATACATAGTTATCTACCCATGCTGTTGGGGAAATGTGATATTTTTAAGGAAACTTCAATTGGTACTTAAATACTGTGTATTGAGCGATGGTCGAACAGATTGTAAGTTAACAGACAGTAGAAAAAGTTAACATCAAAAAAGGTCCTTAACAGCCTTCAACAGTCTACTCCTGGACATAGGCTCTCCTTAGATAGGAGGTTTTGGCCTACTTTACCACGCTGGCCAGACAGATTGGGGTTGTGTCAAGTTTTGCTTCTTTTTGCAGTGTTGTCGTCCTGCGTAGTTTGCTCCCTAGATAAAACACTATAAATCCAAGAGTCGGATCTTACGACACCCACAGGATGAATGGAGGTGGTGACAATCAGGGGCGGATCTACTTAAAGGCTTTTTGGGCTGCAGCCCAGGGCCCCGTGGGTACAGAGGGCCCCCAACAGAACTGGAAACAATAGACGATATTGTCAACAATAAAAATTATCTAGAATTAAAAAAAAAACCGATCACAAGGTTGGCAACACTGCGATCAATCCACCCGTGTGCGCATCTATCAAACGGAACGGGGAATTTGTTTTCGGTCGGTGTATTCTGTGTATTGTCTATTACTGGGGACTTCCCTCCGCTTATCGCTTATCGATATATTTAAATAATAGAAGCCAAGCCTATGAGATATGGCAAAAAAATTTAAAATTTAATGGATTTGCAAGACAAAAATGAAGAACATATAGATCTGGAAAGTGGATGTAATATTATTTATTATTATCCAAATGACGTAGACGAACATATAGTGAATGAGTGCATTCAGTTAAAATCTTACTTACTGCAGTCTAAGACAGAGTCTTACACCTCTTGCAGTGGCTAATTTATGAAAAGAAACTTGTTGATGTTTTCCCAAACCAGGATGTCGTATATAGAAAACAAATACAGGACAACAATGTCGAACTATCGACTAAATTATTTACCAGTTCTTTCCATAAATTGCGATTTAACAAAGGACTCACAGTGGGATGACCAAATAAAAGAATTTGCAGCACAAAAATGCAGAAAGGTTGCTTTATAATTTATATAACATAACCATTCATAACCTGTCAATTTATTTAGCAAATAAATAATGTTTTAATAATTGAATAAAATATTTTGTTTTCCTATTTTCTTCCTGTACTTAACATATATTATATAATATTTTAATATAATATATTAATATTTTTTCACACACATCTCACACACGGCGGTCTGATCCCAAACTAGACAGAGCCTGTACTATGGTAACCAGACTGCTGATAAACATACTTATATATTTCTAAATACATAGATATTATAGATAAAGTTCACCCAGACACAGAACAAATGACCGTGCTCATCACACAATTATTTGTTCTGGGTGGGAATCGAACCCACGACCTCTGGCGTAGCAGTCAGGGTCACTAACCACTAGACCAACAGGCCAGTCGAAATATACCTACATATATACCTACATCGCTACAGAAAACAGTTTTTTGACAAAATGGCAATTGGTTGGGAATGGCAATTAGGTAGGGCCCCTAAGCATTATTAGCCCAGGGCCCCACAAATTCAAGATCCGCCCCTGGTGACAATCCGTCACCACACGGATATTATAACTATTGATGGTCGCTAATAATATTCTCGTGTATAGCCATAAAAATCGAGCAGAAGTTGTGAAACGAGACAGTAATTAACCAGCGATTGAGTGAAGTACACGTTGTTACCTATTTACTACTTATCGACTTATCATTTTTGGCGACGAGGACGGGATTCGAACCTACCAATTACCTACGCGACCCTACCTAAAGAATAAAGTTTGCTGACTTTGCTTCATAAGAACGTGGAATTTTTTCTGTACTTGTTCTACTCTAAAGCCGCGTTTTCACGTTACGAGTAGGCTCGGGCTGAGTGCGCGCGTACGAGCCTGCTCGTATAAGAGTGCATTCGGATTATAGTATACACGTTACGAGTTGAATTGCGTCCGAGTATCATTTTATCTCGTTGTTTCATTGCACTGTATCCATTTTCAAGATGTTCGATGATGACGATCTTCTACTGCGAGGCATAAAAATAGTGGCCGATAGTCTATAAAATAGTCAAAAGTGACTTGCGCCCTCCACAACTGATTGGTTAAGAGAGTCTTGCGTTACGACGCACTTACAAGAGAACTTACAGGACCTGGTACATGAACACAAGAAACAAGCTCAAATCATATAGCTGATCTTGTGAACTAAGTTAACAATCATTGTTTTCAGTCAGCAAAGAACGAAGAACTAGTTTCAAACGACAGATCATGAGAGAATGTGCCTTTTATCTGGGTTTTCTTATGTTAGTAAAACATTATTATAAAACTACAGCTAATAAACTACTTATAATTTTTATTATTTAACTGTTATAAAACCTAAACATTTCAAAAAACGTTTCATTTTTACGTTACGTACGTCATTTTATTCATTTACGATTACACACGATAGAAGTCTATCTGCAATTTTCAACCAATGATGAATTTTTAATTTTTAATAAAACGCCCTGTGGATTTTATTTTTAATAGTTCTTGCGAGTACCTAACTACGTATTCTGGATATAATTGAATTTGTTGTTCACGTCTTGGTTTCATAGGTGGTGTGTAAATTCTTAAGTATGCGTTGTATTGTAGCATTTCGGGCGTCTTTGTGTTTATATTCATTTAGCCTCACATTCCACAACACTTTCTCCTCTTCATAAAGCTCTACAAACCTCATAGTGTCACATGCACTCCATTTTTTTTTGTTGACGCCATTTTGTTTACATAAAATGATACGAGTGCACTCGAAAAAATAGAACCGCGTCCGAGTCCACTCTGATCGGTATCCGACTTCCGAGTGCACTCAGATGGCGTGTTTACACGATGCGAGTTGCATCCGAGTAGCACTCGGTCCGAGCCCACTCGTAACGTGAAAACGCGGCTTTAGATACCCCAGCCCGGGTGACCTTTTTAAAAAAACACCAAATTATGATAACGTAATATGGTAACCACACTGCTGATAAATACACATTTTAGATAAATTACAGCTTAACATAGATGAACTGAACGATCGTTTGCTTATTACAAAATTATTTGTCTGTGGGAATCATACCTAATATTTCTGGCTTAGCAGTCTGGATCACAACAACTAAGTCAACAGGCTCGCCAATAATAACTCATATTGCCTAAATTATGAAAATCTTACTACATACCCACCTAATAAATAGTTACAGTTTAGTTCATAGTAGGCACCTAAAAAAAACAAAAAGAAAACACATTTTTATATTATTATTGACGTTTTAATTATCAATACATGTACATAATATCTGATTTATTTTGATTAGCAAAAGTTTGGCAGTTGTAAAATTTTTGCAAAATTATTAATTTTGTCCTATTCGTTATGTTTATGACTTGTTATCAATCCTAGTAAGTACCTAATAAGTATATCTACTTATCAAAGTGAAACGTGACCTTGTACCCAAAAGTTGTTTACTTGTGGTCACAGTCAAACTATACGATAATAATTGATATAATCTAACCACGAAAACACGGGAAACATACGGTTTCCGACAGGGGCGCTCCACCGTGGATGCGATCATGCGCGTGAGATCTCTGGCGAAGTGGTGTTGGCGGTGTCCTTGGACATCGGTTGGCGTGAAATGTCTTGCGATGTTCCACAGGGGTCGGTGTAAGGGCCGCTCCTGTGGAACATCGGCTACGACTGGGTGCTTCGTGGTGCCTTCCTGGATGGTGTCGCCGTCACGTGTTAGGGGTCAACCCTGAGGGCCACGGCCGGGGTTGCCCAAGTCGTAGAATCCGGCGGCTGGGTCTCGAGGTGGCTCTGCACAAATCCGAGGCCTGTTCTTTCATGGGCCTCGGAGGAAGCCTCCTGAGGGATCCAGCCTCATAGTAGGAGGCACTTGCATCGGCATCGAGCCCTCGATCAGGTATCTGGGGCTCGTACTCGATGGTCGATGGGACTTCGGACATTATCTTCGAGGTCTGGTCCCCAAGTTGGTTGGGGCAGCGCGTGCACTGGCGCGGCTGTTGCCTAACATGAGGGGACCCAATGACTCCTGCAGGAGACTCTACTAGGGGGTTGTGCAGTCCATGGCCCTTTATGGGGCTCCAGTATGGGCGGGAGCCCTGAAGGCCAGCAACGTCGCGCTACTGCGACGACCGCAGCGAGTGCTGGCCATCAGAGTCATAAGGGGGTAC